AAATATTTTTTCAAGTTTGTAGGTTTAACTTTCTCGGAATTTCAGAAATCCCCAAATTTTCGAGAAAAAAGCCAACATTTTTTTTTCAAAAAAAAAGGAGACGTAAAAAACAGAGCAGCATAACTAATAAGAGCCACTTTTTTTCCTCCGACCTTTTCTTCTTTTTTTCTGGCTTTTTTTTTTGGGTTATGTCATGCTTGACACATGGTCCCAGGTCCTCCAAAACGAGAGAGAGTATTGGATATGGAGAGACGCAGACAACACGTAACAGACAATTGAGCCATTTACGGCTCTTTGTCTTGCGTCTTCGCTTTTAATTTATCGCTGTGTGGAGGAAAGACAATGACAGACCCCCCCCGAGAAATGGGTGGTAATTAATTGCCAAGAGATTCCTGAGCAATTTCTCCTTTTGTTGGCTTTTTTGGTGGTTACAATAGAGAAGAAACGATATAATTGTGTTGTTATATGTTATACAGGTCAATTGGTTTTTTTGACTGAACCGTGACGTAATCAAAATTGTCGGAGCTAAGCGGTTGAGTTCTTAAGGGCACTTTTTCTGTCATTTTTCGATCTAGATTTCAAAATTTGACTTTATAAACAAAATCCGCAATGTTCAATAACCCAAGCAGCCAAAAAACCAGGTTTCTAGCAAATCTGGGAGCCGAGATACAGGCTTTTGAAGTTGAGAGTAGGGAGAGCGCAGACACCGAGACACTCTAACTGTCTGCGTCTCTCCTCGCAAAACTTCAAACGGCTGTGTCTCGGCTCCCAGAAAGGTTAGAGATGTGATTTTTTGACCAAAACTTGTCATTTTTCATGTTTTAAGTTATTTACCACAAAAATTAATAAAGTAGCTATTTTTTCGAAAATTCTAAATCAAATTTCTCTATAAAACCTCATTTTTCAGACTTTCTTACTATTATTTTCGAAATTTCCACCCCTGAAAACCCCTAAATACATTTTTAAAAAAGAATTTGCCACCGGTGGGAGTCGAACCCGCGACCTCTGGATACAAATTTTTCGTCGAAAATCCCACTAGGCGTGAAAATTTAGGTTTTAATGGCGTTTTTTTTATGGTTTTCGAGTTAAAAATTAGGTTTAAATAGCAAAAAAGGGTGTTTTTAGAAAAAAAAATCTAGAAAAATTTTAATTGAGGCTGTCATTTTTGGTTCGAAAATTTTTGAAATTTGGATCTTTTCTCTGAATTTCTAATTTTGAATCGTAACATGTTCTCAACTCTCCCTAATTAGTCATCTCCTTCTCTACTGGCCTCGTTCTTCAGAATATAAATTTATATCCAAATTCTTCAAAATCCTCTCCTTTTGATTCCTTTCGTTAATGAGCTCCGTGTGCTTTGAGGAATTCACTATACGAATGAAAAACTGTAGGTTCAAAAAACAGGAACTTTATTAATTCAAAACTATTTGAAATTGAACATTTTAGAATATTTCTAGTCCTCAAAAAGTACCGTAATCACTCCAAAAAAGTGCCCAAAAACCCTCTACTTTAAGCTTACTTATCTTGTTTCCTGTAAGAGATATCAAAAAGTGGTCAAGTAATAAAATATTACTGATAATGTGATAAACATTTTATCAGTGAATAACTTTTTGATATCTCTTACAGTAAAGGAGATAAATGAACTCAAACTGCAAGCTACGGAATGTATTACGCGGTCTCAGCAAGAGTGTTTTATTATGCTTGTCTGAGAAAAAAAGGTTAGAAAGTATTTTTTGCAGTCTGAGTACGGTAGCGATATCGAAGCGGAGAGCATAAACAGCACACAAACGGTGGAGACGCAGACACTTTTTCTCTGCGTCTCAACCTTTTTTTCTCAAACAAGCATAATAAGCCTATATATCTCGATTCCTGTAAAAGATATCAAAAAGTGGTCAACTAATGAAATTTTTAGCATGAAAATAGTAACATTTTATCAGTTTACAACTTTTTTGGATCTTTCACAAGTACCGAGATAAAATGGTTCAAAGCTTGCGCGCCGTCGCTCAGCTGGCAGCGGCGCGGCACCTTCGACGATGGACACTTCTTTAAAGGCGCACAGAGTTTTTTGACTGTTTTTTCTAACGAACTCTAGAACCCCATTTCCGGCTGGGGATGATGATCCCGTCTGTCACCTCATTTACACCTACTTATAAATCCAATGTACAATCTCATCCCAAGTACCTTCATACACACTTAGTAGCATTTGCATCTTTCCTCTGAATGAATGAAAAGGAGGATTAGCAGATCCCTCTCACTAGAAGAAGGACCCCACACTGTTGCAAAAGTGTGTTACGTAATCTCGGAGATTAAAAGTACCGTAATCCTGGAGGGATATTCATTTCGTTATGCAATGTAATAAAACATTGTATGGAAAGTGGAGATTACGTAATTTTGGTATAAGCTTGGTATTGATAGCTCTGGCGTTGAAACATGTTCTGCGATTCTGAGATTCTGAAGGTTCTGGAGATTCTGAGATTCTAGGTTTCTAGGATTCTAGGATTCTAAAATTATAAGATACTGATATTCGGATATAACGAAATTTTGAGATTTTGGGATTCTGAGATTCTGATATTCTGAGCTCTGACGTTCATCGCGTAGCTCAGTGGCACTATACCTAGATAATCTCAGAATTTCAGGACTTCAATAATTTTTGCGATTTCACAGATTTTAACGATTTTTAGGATTTTGAAAGGTTTTTATTATATTTTTCAGAATTTCAGAATTTCAAAATTTCTGAATTTCAGGATTTCAGAATTTCAGGATTTCAGAATTTCAGAATTTCAGAATTTCAGTATTTCAGAACTTCAGTATTTCAGAATTTCAAAATTTCAGAATTTCTGAATTTTTGAATTTCTGAATTTCTGAATTTCTGAATTTCTGAATTTCTGAATTTCTGAATTTCTGAATTTTAGATTTTTAGGATTTCAAGGATTTTAAGTTTTTTCTTAGAATTTTAACGATTTTTAAAATTTTTAGGTTTTTTAATTTTTTTTAGATTTTCCCAATTCAAACTATTTTTTACGATTTTAAAGGTTTAAGGTTTTTAACTTTAGTTTTTAGCGTTTTTCAAATTTAAAATTGTTAAAACGTTCTAAAGTTTTTTTTTTGAGGTTTTAAGGATTTTAAGAATTTTTAGTTCCAAACTGTTTCCTTCAATTCCCTCTAATGTATGTTTTTCTAGGGAAAAAAGGGGTCCCCCGTTTTCCAGTAAAAAGTCACAAAAACACGGAAAACGGGGCAAACGACCAATTGATGTCAAACATTCCCCCATTCTTTTCTTCCCATTCCTTCTGAATTTTCTTCCTTTTCTTTTTTTTTCCAGTACTTCTCCTCCTCCTCCAACAAACAAACAGATCTAGGGGAACCTCTTCTCTTATTTTAGTTTTCTATGCGTCTCTTCATATCCCTTTATCTCTCTGCTTGGACCGCGGCCGGCCGCAGGCCGGGCCGTGGACCAAATCAGAAACTTCGAAGCCCTCTAGGCCGCCAAAAAGCCGCGGTTTCGTTTCCGCCACCCTTCCAAGGGGGCGGAGCCGTAGCTCCGCCCCCTTTGTTCTTTGTGTCTGCGTCTCTTCCTCTCTCTTTGATAGTAATATTGGGGGGAAAGAGGAAAGAGAGCTATATTGAACGTTTGTTCTTGTTCTCTATGCTCAAAATTTTAATTGTTTTGTATTATACCATGTATTATTAATAGCATTGTTGTTATATTTTTGTATGTATGACATACATACACATTGGAGGTCCCTTTTTATGTGTTATGTTGCTCTTTTGTTGTTAGGTTAGCATCTCCTTTTGGCTTGTGTTTTGGAATTGTTATAATTGAATTTAGATTTTGAAAAGTGTGTTTTCGAAGATTTGAAAAGTTTAGAGAATTCGAAAAAAAAACTCAGAACTTTGTATTTTTTCAAATTTTAAGAATTTTTTCGAATTTTTGGGTTTTTTTTGTATATTTTGAATTTTTGGGATTTTCGACTTTCGGTTTTCAGATTTCTTTATTTTTGGATTGTTTGGAATTTCGAGGTTACAATTTTTTTTTCTTTGGATTTTTACGATTTTTTGGGATTTTTTCTGGAATTTATTTTTTTTTCGAATTTAGAAATGAACATATTTAATTTTTTAGGATTTTTGCGACTTTGATTTCAGGATTTTTAGAATTTCAAAGGTTTTTAGGACTTTTTAAATTTCCGGCGTTTTTTTGGAATTTTATGATTTTTTTAAATTCTGAAAATTTAAAATTTTAAGATTTTTTGTAATTTTTGTTGTTTTTGCGATTTTGGCAATTTTACTGAGATTTATGTAAAATTCAGAAATTGAGAAAAAAATTCAGAAATTCAGAAATTCAGAAATTCAGAAATTCAGAAATTCAGAAATTCAGAAATTCAGAAATTCAGAAATTCAGAAATTCAGAAATTCAGAAATTCAGAAATTCAGAAATTCAGAAATTCAGAAATTCAGAAATTCAGAAATTCAGAAATTCAGAAATTCAGAAATTCAGAAATTCAGAAATTCAGAAATTTAGAAATTCAGAAATTCAGAAATTTAGAAATTCAGAAATTCAGAAATTCAGAAATTCAGAAATTCAGAAATTCAGAAATTCAGAAATTCAGAAATTCAGAAATTCGGAAATTCAGAAATTCAGAAATTCAGAAATTCCAAAATTTTAAATATTCCAAAAAAATTAAAAATCCTTATTTCACACTTTTTGAGCTCAAGTTTTCTAGATCTCCTATTTCAAATTTTGTCTCAAAATCTCAATAATTCCATTTTTTTTAAATTTTCCAAAAAATCCCTTATTTCTCACTATCTGAACTCTCAATTTCCAGATTCCCCCATAAACCTTCTGTCCCATTTTTCTACATCTATCTTCTCCTTTTCCCTCCTTCCTCTAACTTTTTTACTTCGTAAAAAATGCAAATTGGACTCGTTAACTTGTTAACTCTTCTTTTCATTTATCTAATCCAACTTTTCCTTTTTCAGCCAAAAAAGAAAACACACATGCAAAAATGAAAAAGCTAACTCTAATCCCAATTCTGGCCCTAATTGGCCTGGTGACTCCAGATGAGCTCATTTCTACACGCTGTCAAGCACAATGTCTTCATTTGATGGATCAGAGGCTTCAGGTGAGTATTTTAAATTTTAAATTTGATTTTTTCCTGAAATTTTGGTCTAGAAAATTTTTAAAAAATCAACAAAAAATACCCAAAAATTCGTACTTTTTGGAATTTCCAACGATATCAGTGCTTGTAAATCTTCGCGCACGTCTTCTTATCTGTTCCTGATCTTGGTATTCTTCCGATTGCCCTTGATTGACATGTTTGTTGAGAGATATGTCACCCCCGTGGTGGTGGTGGGGGAGGACGGTACAGTAGTAAAATGATATCAAAGGGATGGGGATACAAATACCACTTGAGAGGCAAAAAAAGAGCCGCCAAGGTGCTTGATACACATTCCATGAGATGTACAATGACAATATGGGTTCTAAGGACTTTTGAGACCTTTGAGTCCCCAGAAAACTGGTATTTTGGGACCTTTTGAGACCTTAGAGGTAGACCCTGGGGGTTTCTTCAAATTCCCCAAAGCGTAAAAAACTCGTCTTATGGTACCTGAACCCTTAGAGCTAGTACCCGGACCCGTAAACCAAGTATCCGGGCCCTTAGAGCTAGTACGCGGACCTTTAGAGCTCGTACCCGGGCCCTCAAGCCGCTTCAGGCTTCTTCGGGACCCTTAGTACCTTTAGACCTCAAAATTAGGACCACTAAGTCCTTTGGCACCTTCAAAACCTTTTCAATTTTCAGCGAACCTCTGAAACAAACGTTAAACCTAAAACCTAAAACCTTGAACCTTGAACCGTGAACCTTAAACCTTATGCCTTAAATCTCAAGAACCTTAAACGGAAGTCTCAGCTATCCTATAACCTTACAACCCCTTGCGTCTTTTTGGAACCCACTGAAGGACCCAAAAAGAGGTCCAAGCTAATTTTTAAACCTTCTTCTAGACAGGTGTCCTTTTACCACCCCATCCAAAACCTTGATACCTCTATTAGCCACTCTTGTCCTCCTACTAAGCGGGGGGGGGGGGGGGGACAGTCAGATCCATATCTCTGTTGCTATTGTTTCTTTTGGACCTCCTCTTCAAATCTTGATAAACCAAAAATGTTGCTTTATGGTTTTGATGACTCGTGTTACGCAACTTTTAATGTTTTGATATACACAAAGCGAGATCAAACAAGAAAGGCACCGCCAGATAGAGTGGAGGTTAATGTCGTGTACTATAAAAGTTGCGTAACTTTACTTATGTACAAAGTATTGTATTCAAATCCACTCTCTTGGGAGGTAAGAGGTTATTGGATAGCTGAGTTTTTAAGGTTTAAAGGTTGGGGGACAGGAGATTTTTCGTAGTTTTTTTGTAGCTAGAGTATGCATTCTACCGTCACGGTGTACAACGCTTAACGTCACTCTGCGTACAGCTGTCGTCCTCGCCTTTATGTATGCAATCGGGCGACCGCTTTTTTTTTGCCCGTGTAGCTCAGTCGGTAGCGGCGCCGCACCCTCAATCATCGCCCCAACAAGTTCAACTCCTCGAGGGGCATATTTAGACGGAATTTCGAGAACATTATTTTTTCATGTCCCCCCACCGTTAAGGTGTCAATTTTGAGCCTGTCTTCATTTAAGGCCAGAAAATGATTTTAAATGCCCTGGAGCAATTTTTCAACTCCCAAGGTGACGGGAATTACACTAATGACTTGTCTAAATCACTAAAAACACTAACAATTGTCTCTTTTCCCTCATTTCCTGATACCTGACCTATAGTGCAGGTGTCACATATACTCTCCATTGTTGTTTCTGGGAACTGCTGTAAAATTGAAAGGTGTCTTAGCAGCTGCCCCTCCCAAGTGATGCATCTACTAAAAGAAAATTAATGTTTTTGTTGACTTTAGAGATGGATTTTAATAGATAGGACTAGGGGGGTCCCATAAGTTTTATGACCCCCAAGTGGTTGACACACTTAATAGGCTACCCCCCTCCTCAGGAATTTATGAATAGGGGGGGGGGGTCCTTCTTCTTCCGGTGTGAACTCCTTCCTCCGTCGTCATCATTGTCAAGACACATACACACAAAAACTTTTTGTTCGCACTCTTCATTGTTAGTGTATGGTGGGTCCCGAGGTCGCGTTGGCTAAGTGCACTCAAGATTTGCCCTTGGAAAATGGGGGTGTGAGAATTAGGGGAACAATATGTTTATGGGGATTTTGATTTGCTAGCGCGTCGGGCTCAATTATCTCGGTTCCTAAAAAAGATATCAAACATTTGTTAACTAATAAAATGTTTATCATAAAATAAGCTACAGTTTATTAGTTGAGGTATTTTTGATAGCTTTCTTGGGAATCGAGATAATTGAACTTGAAGGAGTCGGCGCATTTGAGCCTAGTTATCTCGCTTCCTGTGAGAGATAACTAAAAAGTTTCAACTGATAAAATGTTATAGATATTGTGCTGAACATTTTATTAGTTAATAAATTCTAATTATCTTTTTTAGGAGCTGAGCTAATTAAGCTCAAAGTGCAATTAAGTGATTTTTTTTAACCTAAAAACCCCCTAGGCGGAAATCCCCTTGACAAAAACTTTCAAAAACTTGTCCTAGGGGTTTTTAAGACTATTAAGCTTATTTTTGGCGGTTTCAAACGCTATAAAAGACTCTGAAAGGGTAGAAATCAGTTCCAATTACTTTGGGGGTGTTCAGATCATCATACCATACCAAACCGCTCAAAACTTGGTTCATATGGTATTTTCAGGTTTTTTGAGCTCATTTATAGCATTTTCAGCTTGCTCTTAGCACTTTCAGACGTTCAAAAATCATTCTGAAAGGTCCAAAATAGATCCTTAGATTTCATGAACACCTGGGGATCGTTTTTGGCATTTTTTGGAATTTTCGCGATTTTTGATCTTTTTGGTTGGCCTTTTTGGGACTTTATACTTTTCTGGGCTTTTCTAAAATTCCGAAAAAGTTCTCCTCTATATTTTCATTATTAAAATTCATCTTCTTATTTAGTTCCTTCTCCGGAGAATCTAAATCTAAATCCAAAATCTCTGTCTCTTCTTCATAAAACTAATTGCCGTGGTGGTGGTGGTTTTGGGGGGGGGGGGGGGTGGTATTCTGAATTCCTCTTCACTGATGCGTGACGCCTTCTTCATCTTCTTCAGATGCGCAGAAGAGAAAGAAGTCCATTTCGAAAAACGTACTAGTAAATCATGGTCAGTAGTCAACAGAGGGGTATCAAGATCAAACCAGATGGCTGAACAAACTTTTTGAAATTTCTAGAGCTTGGAAAAGCCAAAAAATGAGCATAAAAGGCTCAAAACTTCAGCTATCTTCTAGAAAACCCATAAATCTTATCAATTGCTCATCACTAACCCCCTGTGTCAGGTGTGTATGTTATTCTTTGCGGCTCTTTTACTCGCTCATCAATCAGTGACACGGGTGACCGCGGTCGGCCGTCCGCCAGAGGTCAAAAAGAAGAATTGACTTTACTACTAGATGAGATGTGCTAACTCTTTTTTGCTTAGCTATGTGTTTTGGAAAAGACCCCCATCACATAATTATAGGGTTTCTGGGGGAAAGGGAAAAAAGTAAAAAAGAAGAAGAAGAAGAAGAAGAAGAAGAAAAAGAAAAGTGCAAAACCGAAAAGAAAGCAGGGATTTTGGTGCCAAAAATTTGGCGAAGTTTTTTTTCTAGATTTGGAGAATCATGGACCTAGACCAAAAATGCAAAAGAAGTGATTCCAGACAAATTTAGACTCCAGAATCGGATTCGCCATAAAATTTGGGTCTGGAAAAACTTTTTGGGTGGAAATCGGTCTTCTCCGAATTTGCGCCTTCTTCTTCTCCAGATTTGGATGGGAATTTTCAATATGTTTCAAAAATTTCAGAATGAGTCCAAACTTTTTTTAAGAATGCTAGAAAACAAATTTCCAGTTTAAAAAAATTTATTTTCCAAGATTCTGAAAATGTTTTGGTCTACTTTTCAAAAAAAAAAAAACATTTTCAAATTCTATTTTCTCCCCCCATCTGTCATGTACACTTGTTCCTCTTAGTTATTGTAACCTTTCTTTTCCATCAAGATGCTTATCTAAAGCACCATAACCCCCAAGACAAGTCATCATCAATCTTAGTCCTTCGAATCGGCGCCAAGAAGGTTTGGCGCCAAAAATGAGGGATGAGGATGGAGGTCGTAAAATAATAAGAGAGAAGAATTTAGTGTAAATTAAACGGAATCCGACAGATTTTATTATATCTAGTGTATTATGGGAATGGGAAATTATAAAACATGTGGAACAGAGAGAAGAATTTTTGAAATTTTTGGAAATTTTCGGGGAATAAAGTGGACCAAAATTTTTTTGGGGACATAGAAAATAGGGTTTTTGGCCTGGAAATGAAGTTTCTGATTGGCTGAAAAAAGTTTGGGCTATTTCCGAAAACTTTGAGAAATTTCCATCCAAAATCTGGAGAAGAAGAAGAAGACTAAAAACCGGAGAAGACGGATTTTGACCAGAAACAAAATTTTCTAGGCTCAAATTTCTCGGGGGGTCCGATTCTGGGATTTAATTTTATCCAAAATCTCTATTTTTTTTCCATTTTTCTTCTTCTTTTCCGAATCCATAATACCATCTGCCTTTGATTCTCTAGAACAATACCTTCATCAATTTTTCATGAGTTCCCGTTCCCAATGGAACAAATCGTGAGAATCAACACCTTCCTCTTCTTTTCCTTCCTCTTCTCCAGATTCTTTAAGAATTCTGAATAATCAGAAGAGCCCTTTAAGCATTAGCATATTGTATTTCAAGTGGATTGCACCACCACCTCTTTATGGGTGTGCGCAGATCAAAGCGCTACTAAATGATTTGTGGGGCAAAGAAGAAGGAAAAGAAGAGCTATTGCGTATAGGCATAAGAATTTATGGGTTTGGAATCTGAAGAGAAGAGATTTGGAACCAAGATTTCCACATTAGGGTTTCCAAAAAATCTTTTTCCTCTCCAAACATGGACCAACACGTTGTAAAAAAAAGGATTCGGAGTGGATCTTCATTTTTAGGTGTAACGTAAAATTTTTGAACTAGATCCCAGAAGTTTTGGTCCACATGGGTTCATCCTGATCATATTCAGAGAAGAAGAAGGATCTAGTCCAAATCTTTTCTAAAATCTTTGAATCATGATTTTTCTTGCCTGGAAATAAGTGTTCTAATAGTCTGACAAAAATTTGGACTATTTCTTAAAATTTTGAAAAATTTCATCCAAAATCTTGAGAAGAAGAAGAGGACCAAAATCTGGAAAAGGCGGATTTTGACCAAACAAATTTTTTCCAGGCCCAAATTTGATGGGGAATTCAATTCTGAAATCTAAATTTATCTAAAATTTCTTTTTTTCCCATTTTTGGTCCAGGTCCTTGATTTGGAGAAGAAGAAGCATCTAGACCAAATCTTTTCTAGAATTTTTGAATCATTATTTATTTTGTCTGGAAAATAGTTTTCTAATGATCTGAACTAGGTTTCAACTGTTTCTGAAAACTTTGAAATTTTCCATCCAAAACTTGGAGAAGAAGAAGAAGACCAAAATCTGGAGAAGACCAATTTTGACTGTAAAAAGGGTTTTCAGACCTAACTTTTATGACAAATCCGGTTCTGGACTTTAAATTCCTCTGAAAGTTCTTCTTCTTCTCCGAATACCACAAAAAAAAACACCTTTTTGGACAATACCGCATTTGCATTCGTTCTAATTATCTCCGGATGTTGTTTCTTCTTTGTTCTTCCCCAATTGTTTTTGTTGTTCTTCTTCTTCCCTGGACCATTCCCGAAAGAAGAACACTTGAACCGAGTGCAAATTAACCTGTAATTAGTGTGAAGAGCATACCTATTTAATAGGCACGTATTGTTTTTTGGGTCTTTTTTGTGTGATGTGCCGCTTTTTGAGCAGAAAACAGGGCTTTTGGGGAAATTAAGGGTCCAAAAGTTTTAAGATTAGAGTTTGTAACCTTTCAAAATAGCCAAATCAAAAAGAAAATTCTTTTTTGGTCTTCTCCAGATTCTTCCTTCTTCTTCATCTTTTGGACCAAATTTTGAAAAACAGACCAAATCTAGTTGAAAAATATTCCAAACTATTGGGAAATCAAGATCCAAGTCAATTTTTGAAGATTTTCAGAGTTTTTGGTCTAGATTCTTCTTCTTTTTCTTCTGCTTCTTTTCCAAATACCATATTCTACATCATCCTGTTGACGTTAGACACCCAATGAACAGATGAGGGGCTATTATTCATGAGAACCGATGCATCAATGTCGAAAAAGACACGGGTTGAATCTGGAGAAGAGGAAGAAGAAGAAGAAGAAGAAGCGGCATGGTGCCAGATGGGGGTAACAAGAGAAGGGACGGTTTATGGTTGAGACACATGCCGGGGGTAAAAAAAACCTAAAAGAAAAACATTTGAGTTAGATTTACAATCGACTTTTGGGTTAGGAGGAAGAGTGATGATAGGGAAAGAAGAAGAAGAAAAAAAGAAGTTTTTTTTTTTGAATTTAGGGACCAAAGGGGATTCGGGGAACAAGATTCAAATAAAACCAGAAATTAAAAATTTCAATTTCAAAGTTTTTGGTCCATTCCCATAATTTGTGAAATAAGAATGTGGACCAATCTTTTTTCAGAAACATGGAAAGATAAATTTTTGACCTGGAAATGAGTTTTCGAATAGTCTGGAAAAAGTTTGGACTATTTCTGAAAACTTTGAAAATTTTCATTCAAAATCTGGGGAAGAAGAAGACCAAAATTTGGAGAAGATCGTTTTTTTTCGAAAAAAACGTTTTTCTAGACCCAAATTTTTTGCCAAATCTGATTCTGAAATTTCAAATTGTCTGAAATTACTTTTTTTTCATTTTTTCGGTTCAGGTCCATGATTCGAAGAAGAAGGATCTAGACCAAAACTTTTTTTTTTGAAACTTGGAAAGATGAATTTTTGACTTGGAAACGAATTTTCTAATAATTTAAACACAGTTTGAACTAGTTTTGAAAACTTTAAAAGTTTCCATCCAAAATCTGGAGAAGAAGAAAAAGACTAAAAAACGAAGAAGACCGATTTTGTTCAGAAAAGTTTGTCTAGACCCAAATTTTATGGCAAATCCGATTCTGGCATTTAAAACTGTTTAAAATTTGGTCCAGATCCACGATATTCTGGAATATAAGATTGTCTGAAATTTCTTCTTCTTTTCCATATTCCAGGTCACTGTTCTTCTTTTCCATTAGGCTTATGATTCTAAGCCGGTCTTTCCCCATCAATCCCCATCTACCGTATGTATTAATACCGCATCATTTGACATGTACTGTCTTCGTCTTCTTCTTCTTTTCATATAAATCTACTGGTCACCTACCTAACGGAAAATGAAATAATCCGGAGAGTACACAATGAAGATACACACATATAACTGGGTGGTGTGCGCGAAAACAGACTAGGCAAATGTTCACGCCTGAATTAGCAACGTCTTCTTCTTCTTATTTTCCGTTCTTCTTCTTCTTATTGTTGTTTGGAAAAAGTCAACTTCTATACACAAAAGTTTAACAAGGGATGTTAAAAAATGATTTGGAAAAAATTGAGAAAAATTGGTCTAGATTCATCCAGATGGTATTTGGGGAAGAAGAAGAAATGCATGGACCAAAACTTTTAAAGAAACATGGAAAGATGATTTTTTGACTTGGAAATTGAATTTTCAGTTGTCTGAACAAAGTTTGAACTATTACTAAAAACTTTGACATTTTTCAATCGAAAATCTGAAGAAGAAGAAAAAGACTAAAAAACGAAGAAGACCGATTTTGTTCAGAAAAGTTTGTCTAGACCCAAATTTTATGGCAAATCCGATTTTGGCATTTAAAACTTTTCAAAATTTGGTCCAGATCCATGATATTCTGGAATCTAAGATTGTCTAAATATTTTTCAGACCAACATCGAGCTTCGGAAAACCCTAAAACATCATATCATTCAACTGTGTAAGGACGACGCGACGTGTTCAGCGGTAAGCGCAAATATTTGAATTTCGGATAACATCACGGTTCTGGGTATAAGACCTGAATAATAAAATTTTTAGAGGTTCAATGCCCATATTTGGGTCCAAGGGACCATGATTTTTGCGAGATGACCTCATCAAGCATCACTTATGATGAATGAAGTGGTATCCGGGACCCTCTCATGTACATTGTTTCGAGACACAAAGAGCACAAATACATCTGGTGCCTTCCGAGAGGGCTCAATGAGCCAAAAAAGGGAGAATCTACCCCATTAAAATCTAGCTTCTAGGGGTGATTGATGGGCTTCTGGCGCCCCTTGGACCTCAAAAAAAGAGATCAAATTTCCGCCCCATATGGGCTGGATTAGGCGGGTAAAATTGAGAATTTTGTCCGCCAGGCCCTGAGGTTTAGGGCCAGGGACCCCTATGGTCCGAGGATTTGTTGTTGTGATCATTCCATCATCATCTAGGGTCCACCAAATTTGATTCAATTCCTCGATTCACGCATAAATGTTTTGTCAAGTACCCTCCCCAAAAGATACATGAAGAATGAGCAAAAGGGTATAATTATGATCGAGGAGGGGAAATGAAGGGTGCCACATTATGAATCACAAAATTTTGGAGTCAAATGGGGTTAGGGAATCTTTAAGAGTGACCAAATATTTGAAAATGAACCGAAAACGGACCAAGAACGTATCAACCCCTTATTGTCGCCGCCTGGCCTTTTTGGTGCAAAACTCGGCATTCGAATTTTGAAATATAGCTGAATTATATATCATTTTGTAGCTCTAGTCAAATTTTACATTTAATTTTTTAAATCTTTAAAAAATTCTGATTTCGAGCCGAGTTAGGTGCCTGACAAATAGCGGGGTCAGGTCCGGTCAGCTGATTAGGGTACCCTTCTAACTTTGAAACTATTTATCTTATTTTCAGTAATAGATACAAAAAATTTGTTAGCAAACAAATTTCTCAGCATAAAATTTTACACATTTTATCAGTTGACCATATTTTGATATTTTTTACAGGGACAAAGATAAATTGGGTCAAAGTAATTAGCGCTAGAATGAGGCTTGCGGTCGGCCCACCGGGCCAGGTCCTTTGTCCCAATTTATCTCGTTTTCTGTGATAGATATTTAAACATGGTCTATTAACAAATTGCTCAGCATAAAATTGTGAGGATTTTATCAGTTGACCAGGTTTTGATATCGTTTATAGGAGCGAAGATAAATTGGGCCAAAGTTAAGATGACCTTAATGCAGCTTGCAGTGGGCCCACCGGGCCAGTACCTTTGACCCAATTTATCATCGGTTTCTGTGATAGGTACTAAAAATGTGTAAACTAGCAAATTGCTCACAGACTTGACTTTCTTGAAAATCCTATTTGCTCTTTGTAGACTTTTTAGAATTTTGGGAAAATCCCATTCATCACCAATTAGTAGCAATCTGGCCGGTCGGTGACCGACAAAAAGTTGTTCTTCAAAAATCTTGGGCCCATAAAAATGCTTAATGACACATACACACCATCGCCAGATGTCTCGTTTCTTATATCTCTCCGCCTTGCCCGTCGGCGATAATTACCGTAATCGTAAAATCACCGTCATAAAAATTTAGCACCGCGTCGCCTGACATAGGATCCGTTTTTATGACAAAGGGAAGTTGAGAGCAAACATGGGGCTTTTTAGAGTCATACAAATGTGACTATAATTTCGACTTTTCCAGTGCTCCGCTCCTTGCCGTGAACAATTCGACGATATCAAGGCTTGCAAGAAGTCGTGTGTGGCTTCAGATGACCGTGAGACTTGTGAAGACTCTTGTCACTATCTACAGACGATATATCAGGAGAAACCCGGCGCCTGTCCAGCTGTCAGCAATAGCTCGAATTATGTGAGTTTTTTTGAACTTTTTTTGGCCTCTAAAGATCCTAACCACCCAAAAAAGGTCCCCAGGTGATCAAATAGACACAAGACATACGTCACACCCTCTCATCCCACCTGTTACACTTACCGCTAATCCTTAAAAATGATCCCCTTTTTTTTTATTTGCCTAAATATCCCCAAAAGGTGCCGCAAAACACTTAAAAAGAGTTGCGTAGGGAATTGACCACTAATCCATTGGAATGTACTTGTCACAAGGGGGTGTTATGAAAATTTGGGAGGGAAATTTAGAAGGTAGGGTTATGGTTTAGGGAACGTATGCTAGTTAGGCCAGCTCAGCGACTCGAATACCCTAAAAGTACAGTAACCAGGAAGCTTTAGAGCCTTTAAAGGAGGCTAGACAGCAAAAATTTCGGGACACAGTTCGGGGGACGAAATCGCGTCGCGCTTATGTAGACCATCGGTCGTCAGGCGCCTTCGCGCCTTTGTAGCTCAGCCGGTAGCAGCGCTGTACCCCTGAGCTGCCTGTCATGAGTTCAACCCCTCGTGGGGGTTCTCTATGCAAAATATCAGGAAAACTTTTTTTTTGGTGTCTGGCCTCCTTTAAGAGAGTTTTTTTGGTATTTTTCGAAAATTCAATTCAACAAATTTGATTTCCAGGAATGCTCCGCCCTGTGCCAAATGGACGGTGACTGTCCCGAAACCCAAAAATGCTGCTCCTCCGGCTGCTCTCGCCAATGCCTTAAACCCCGTTCCTCCGACATCAAGCTTCTTCCAATCCCCAGAAATATCAGTGTCCAAGAGAGAAAACGTAAAAGAAGCATCATAATTCGTTGGGCAACCGGCCGACTCTCAAAAGCTCAACAAAACGAAAACGCCAATTTATTCCTGGTCCAATGGCGTTGGGGACTCCATGAAGAAGAGTCAGCAATGACTGAATGGCAAACAGTTACAGTAAGAAACAAGCCATACGCCATACTGAAGCATTTGTTGTCTCCTGGACGATTTTACGAATTTCGAATTGCCGCCGTTTCGCAAGAAGGAAGTTTAGGGTTCAGTGCACCATCTAAGCCGTTCAAGATATCAAAAGAGGCCAAGGCTCCGCCCCCACCGAAAGATATCTCATTGGGAGGTGTGAAATTGAACGAAGCTGGGCTGTGGAATCAGATTGTTCAGTGGAATCCGCCGCCAAGTGATTTGCCGATCAAAAATTATCAGGTAGCGATTTTTATGGTTCTTTTTTGAATACAAAATGTCAAATATACAATTTAAAATGACAAAATTTTGAGATTTTTGGTCGGAAAATGTATACTTTTGTCCCCGGAATCAATTTTTTTTTAATAATTTAAAGCAATTTACCACGATTTTTGACCTTGAAACCCGTTTAAAACCCAATTTTCGACTCTAAAATCAGTTTTCTAGCCATTTTCCAAAAAGTGCTCAAATGACCTAGTGGGATTTTCGGCGAAAATTTGAATCTAGGGATCGCGGTTCGAATCCCACCGGTGGCAACTTCTTTTTAAAAAGTTTTTTTAGGGGTTTTCGGGGGGCGGGAAGCTCAAAAATCAAGGTTAGAAATCCTGAAAATGGTGTTAAAAGGGTGAAAAGTGGAATTAAAAAAAAAACGCTGAAAGATTAGTGAAAAAAAAATCAAACTTTCGCTCCTAAATCTCCAATTTTGATTTTAAAACCCCATAATTTCCAGATCTCCTGGGCATCATCCACCAAATCCGAAGCGGACGCCTTCGAGGAACAAATGCGCAAGAAGACAACCCTAGAATTTGCCGCCCACGAGAAACGAAGTCTTGCATCCGACGACGACGACGAATTTCTTGGCTCAGATCGAGACAGGAATTCTGTAATCGTTCCAAGTCACTCGACGTCTTCTGAAATTCAAGGCCTATTTCCGAATAGCGTTTATATCGTGGAGATTCATGCGTCAGTAGATTCAAGTGACGGCGAGCTACATGGAGAGAAGGGTGTAGTTTTTATAAGGACCGCTGATGCTTCTGGAAATTCTGGAGTCTCTGGAAAGGGGGCGGAGCCTGAATACAATGGCCCTGTTGCCCGAATCGCTCATGGAATCGCCGAGGCTTCTGAGGAATTGAAGATTGAGCCGAGAAAGTCCCAGACTACCCGAGGGTCCCGGCCCACGGCATCTTCTCCGGCCCATCTGGAAATTCAACGACCATTTTTTGACAACGAACTCCAGACGCAACTTTCATGGACCCATGGATCCTACTGTACCCAAAATTCAAATTCAAATTCCCGCCAAACGTTCAGCATCAAGGTCCGCAAAACTCTCTGCAGGGAATACCAACCCAATCATCACTCGGACACCCGTTGGCACGATTTAAGGGTCACTGAATGCACAGCCATCCTCAAGGGACTCTCCTTCGATTGTGATTACAAAGTAGAGGTGCAGGATACTGTAACTGGGGATACTGTAGTTGATGGTGTGTTCTCCACGGACACTTGTGAGCAGACATCATCGCTGACGCCTATCGAGTGCTCCAGCTTGACAACGCCGATTCAGTGTCAAGTGACATCGGAATCATCGGCACATTGTCATTGGACTAGGCATCATGACCCGATGCAGACTGTCATTGGCTACCGTATTCTTTTGAGCTCCCCGGTTAATCAGGACACCAATACGACTATCAATCAGCCGCAGTTACGGGAGGTCAGATATGAGAACTTGCAGCCCGGATATGTTTATACTGTAGAGGTGAGTAAAATTAGCAAAACTTTGAGCCTAACTTCAAATTTCTAGCGTTTCTGAGAGGCGAGGTAGTCACTTTTGAAAAAAAATTGTTTTCAATTTCGCTGACATTTTTAGCAAATCTAAAAATACAACTCAAGCCAATTATTTCTGTGAAATTTTGAGTTCCCTAGCACGTCTAGCAGCTGAGATATAGCGCTTTGAAGTTTGAAGAAACGCAGACAGTTAGAGTGTATCGCTGTCTGCGTCTCTCGCCTCCGAAGCTTTAAACGCCTGTATCTCGGCTCCCAGATGAGCCAGGAATGTGGTTTTTTGACCAAAAATCTTCACTTTCTATGTTTAATGTTATCAGCCGTTAAAATTAAGAATTTTGAATTTTTCGGACAATTTTTATTTTCAAATTTTGCGAAATTAAAAAAAATCTAAAAATACATTCAAACCCAACTAGTTCTGTAAAATTTTGGGGTTTCTAGCTTATCTGGGAGCTAAGATACAGCGCTTCAAAGTTTTGAAGGTGAGACGACGCAGACGACGAGACTCCCTAACTGTCTGCGTCTCTCCAAAACTTCAAATAGCTGTATCTCAGCTCCCAGATGAGCTAGAAACCTGATTTTTCCACAGATCGCTTTCATTTTAACCGTCTTTTTCAATTTAAATTAAAAATTACCAAATTTTTCAGGTCCAATCCATCACCAACAAAGGTCTGGGCCGTACCGTAAGCACTCAATTCGTGACTCATTCGGATTTCGAAACCAATGCGATTTCTCGATTCCCGGGAGGTGAAATTATCGAGCTGCCGCTGGAATCGTCTTCTGGAACATTCCTAAGAATAATGCCTTTGATTTTGATGCCCCTTCTTTTAAGGTTACTGTAATTTGATTACTGTACTTTATAGTTTGTAGTGTTCTCTATTTTTTTTTCAATTCGTGTGATACGGGATTTTACGGGTATTATCTCTACTTGTGTGAAATCATTTTTTGAAAATTGAATAAATTTTATAAAAATATGTTTTTTTGGATTTTTTGAAAGATCTGCAATTTCAAATATACTCTTTTTTTCCAGAATTACAGACAGCAATTTGAATATTTAATATGGTTTATTTATACATTTTACAAAAATACAATAATTATACAAAATAATACAAAAAGTACTGTAATCCTTTTTTTTTCAAAAATAAAAGAAAATTATCCATAGTATCCACCATATCCTCCGTATCCGCGCATACCGTATCCCATACCGTATCCTCTACCGTAACCCATTCCACCGTATCCCATGCCACCGTAACCCATTCCACCGTAGTATCCTCCCCAACGACGGAAGCGATCATGGCTGAAAATTTTGGGAAATTTTGGAAAATTTTGAAAATTTCTGAAAATTGAATTTTTTTGAAAAATTTCAAAATTCAGAAATTCAAAAAAGAAAATCATTCTAGAGGTTTTTGGGGTTCGAATATTCAAATTTTTCGGTCAAAAATTCAAAATTCGAGAGCCTTGCCCTCTAAAAAATATAGTTTTGGCGGGAAATTTGAAATTTTGGCTTATTTTTCAAACAATTTTAAAAAAGTCATTTATAGCCCAAAAATTCCGAAATTCAGCTCATTTTTGGGGTTTTCTAAACCGTAAAATTCAAATTTCCAGTCAAAATTAAAGCTGAAAAATCATCTTACGTCTCAGCCTGAGCACTCATTTGTTCATTTCCATTGTCCATTTGAGTATTGAGCTCTGCTCCTGGTCCCGAACTCATTTTTGTCTCCATCTCAGCTCGTTTTTGCATGGAATGACTGAAAATGTTGGGTTTTAAAGGGGAAAAATAAATTTTTCGAGATTTTTTGGGTTAGAAAAATTCAAAAAAGTGTGAAAATTGGCTTAGAAGTTGTCAACAAACTCGAAAAAATTGAAAAAAAAATCTCAAAAATTGGGTTTCTTGGCTTGTTGAAAATACAAAATTTTCAGTCAAAAATTATCTTGAAACCGCAAAAAATTGTTTCAAAAAGAACTCACACATCTGTCTGTGCCTCTGTGTGTCCAGAATCTCCAGTATCCATTTTGGTATGGGTGGAAAGGCCATCAGAACTGTCCGTATTGACTTTGGTGGAAATTTCAGTACAGTAGGCTACAGTAGCCACGAGTAGAACAATTAGGAAAATGGATCTCATGATTTTTTCAATTTTCGAGTTTTAAAATTCGAAATCTGATGATTTTCAGGAATTTTCGGGGATATTTTATAGGGATTTCGAAAAGTGGGCGGAGCCTAATTTGGAATTGATCAGTGGTTTATTTGTTTTTCTTGGAAGTCTTCTGATTTTTGAAAATTGTTTATTAGAAAAAAAAAGTGACGAAACTTCATTTTTGGGTGTGTCCTTGAAAAATTGGGTGACCGATTTTCGAAAATGAGAGAGAAATTTGGCAAATGGAGAGAAGAAATTATACAAAACAGAAATTGAGAAATTTTTCGGAATTTCAGAATCTCAGAATCGGAATTTCAGAATCTCAGAATTTCAGAATTTCAGAATTTCAGAATTTCAGAATTTCAGAATCTCAGAATTTCAGAATTTCAGAATCTCAGAATCTCAGAATCTCAGAATCTCAGAATATCAGAATCTCAGAATCTCAGAATATCAGAATTTCAGAATTTCAGAATTTCAGAATCTCAGAATTTCAGAATTTCAGAATCTCAGAATCTCAGAATCTCAGAATCTCAGAATCTCAGAATCACAGAATTTCAGAATCTCGGAATTTCAGAATTTCAGAATTTCAGAATTTCAGAATTTCAGAATTTCAGAATTTCAGAATTTCAGAGTTTCAGAATCTCAGAATTTCAGAATTTCAGAATTTCAGAATCTCAGAATCTCAGAATCTCAGAATCATAGAATTTCAGAATTTCAGAATCTCAGAATCACAGAATTTCAGAATCTCATAATCTCAGAATCTCAGAATCTCAGAATCTCAGAATCTCATAATCTCAGAATCTCAGAATCTCAGAATTTCAGAATCTCAGAATCTCAGAATCTCAGAATCTCAGAATCTCAGAATCTCAGAATCTCAGAATCTCAGAATCTCAGAATCTCAGAATCTCGGAATCTCAGAATCTCAGAATCTCAGAATTTCAGAATATCAGAATCTCAGAACCTCAGAATATCAGAATCTCAGAATCTCAGAATATCAGAATCTCAGAATCTCAGAATTTCAGAATATCAGAATCTCAGAACCTCAGAATATCAGAATCTCAGAATCTCAGAATATCAGAATCTCAGAATCTCAGAATATCAGAATCTCAGAATATCAGAATTTCAAAATTCAATATGGCAAATGGAGAGAAGACAGAGAGTGAGAAAGTGAGAAAATGAGAATCTTAGAATTTTAGAAATTCCGAATTTCAGAATTTAAGAAATGCAATAATTCAGAATTTTCGAGTTTCAGACATTTTCAAAAAAAAAGCGAAAATTGAAAAAAACGGAAATTCCAAAAAAATCGAAAACTCTAGAAAATTCAAAAATTCAGAGAATTAAAAAAAACGAAAATGAAATTTTTAAATCAGAAATTTCAAAAAACTCGAAAATTCTTTTTGAAATATATACAAAAATTTGGAAAATAAAAAATTTAGAAATCCCGAAAATTTCTTAGATTCTGAAAAGCCAGAAACTACTCTGATTACTGTACCTACAGTAATCCAATATATAGTTCTGCTGATATAGAATTACGGTACATAATAACGGTATCATAGAAGTTTACTGTATCTCATTACCACTAGTTTATCGTAACTATTTACCTAGGAATACTGTAGTTAGGGACTGTGCTAGACTCCCACTGTAGTTTTTACGATCAATTTCAGAAATTTCCAAGAAATATATAAATTTAGAGATTCCCAAAAAATCCAGAAATAAACATTTTCAGTTTCTAGATTTTGAAAAATTTTTTGAATCGGAAGTTTCAAAATTCTTCTCAAAATTTAAGAATCCGTCCATTTTCAGATCAGTCTCAAATTTTCAGAATCTTTGATTTTCAGATTTTCAGATTCCCTTTCAAACTACACAAACTACGCAACCTACAAACATGTGTTTTCTTAGAAAGTCTCTCTGTCTGCGTCTCTTCATCTCTCTATCCCTCTCGCTCTTCTCATTTCTAAAGAAGACACCATCAAGATCATCTTCTATTTTTGTTTTTTTGTTTTCTAATTTTTCCAAAAAAAACCGTTCACCAAACCAAAAGATCTGATCATATTATTCAAATGATCAAATCCAAAAATCCTAGGCTCCGCCCACTTTTCAAATCCTATAAAAATTGAACAGATAAATGAAAATAATCAGATTCAAATTCGAATTTCTATTTTGAAATCCAAAAAAGTCTAAAAAAATGAAATTCCTAATTCTATTGGCTATTTTGGCTCTTGGAGCATTTGCGACGGAAATTAACACTGATGTTAATTTGAATGCCGAGCCAGGAACTGAAACCAAAGCCAAAGTGACCACCACTCATACTAGAACTGTTCAAAAGTGAGTTTTTGAGATTTGGGGCTAAAATTAGGAGAGTTTGAGCCCAAAAATGGATATTTTTGACACAAAATATAGTTTTTTAGAGCCAAAAAGCCTAAAATTAACCTTTTCCACTTCGAGTTTCGTACTTTCCCGGGCTAAAAATCCTTGAAAATCTTATTTTTCCTTTCAAAAATCTAAAATTTTCAGCCATCCCATTGATAAAAGAGCTGAGATGGAGACAAAAATGAGTTCGGGACCAGGAGCAGAGGTTAATACTCAAATGGATACTGGAGATCAACAAATGAGTGCTCAGGCTGAGACGTAAGATGATTTTTGAGCTCCTTTTTGACTGGGAATTTGAATTTTACGGTCCAGAAAACCCCAAAATGATCCATATTTTCAAAATTTTGAGTCAAAAATGTATTTTTAAGGATTTTAAAAAAAAAATCCAAAATTTTTAACTTCCCGCCAAAACTATATTGGTCAGGATGAAATTTTAGGATCTGGAATTTCAGATTTTTGACTGAAAATTTGAATTTTTTAACCCAGAAATTTTCAAAATTTTCCAAATTTTCCCCAAATTTTCAGCCATGATCGCTTCCGTCGTTGGGGAGGATACTACGGTGGAATGGGATACGGTGGTATGGGATACGGTGGAATGGGTTACGGTAGAGGATACGGTATGGGATACGGTATGCGCGGATACGGAGGATATGGTGGATACTATGGATAATTTTCTTGATATTTGAAGAAATAAGGTTTACTGTACTTTTTAACCCGCTAGCTGAATGTATAACTTTGTATTTTGTAAAATGTATAAATAAACTATTTTAAATATTCAAAAAAATTTTTGTGATTCGAATTCAGGGAAAATGCAAATATTCAAAAGTTTGAAAAGCGATTTCTGAAAAAATCGCGAAAAATAGGAAAACAGTCCATCGCCTTAACCACTCGGCCACCTGATCACATTTCTCCCAGGCGGCCGATGGCGTACACAAGGGAGGGGGAGTGGGGGAATAAGGTATTGTGTGCTCTTCAATATGTCGAGAATATGAAATTTCTCGGAAATTCAGAAATTCAGAAATTCAGAAATTCAGAAATTCAGAAATTCAGAAATTCAGAAATTCAGGAATTCAGAAATTCAGAAATTCAGAAATTCAGAAATTCAGAAATTCAGAAATTCAGAAATTCGGAAATTCGGAAATTCAGAAATTCAGAAATTCAGAAATTCAGAAATTCGGAAATTCAGAAATTCAGAAATTCAGAAATTCAGATTTCTTTTTCCATTTTTCCCGGTCAATTCAAGTACAAATTGTTGCGCATCAATATCTTATCAATTCTTCCCCTGTTTCATTGGTTTCTCTATTTTCTCTACACGTGTGTATAGGTTGTTGACATGATTTTTGGAAGTTTTTACAATCCAAAAAAATAGAAGATTCTAGAGACAAGAGATGTGTGACGCTGGTTTCTACTGTTTTCTGTTTCAGATGTTTGGTCCCACTTTCCGAGATTTTCAGAAATTCAGAAATTCAGAAATTCAGAAATTCAGAAATTCAGAAATTCAGAAATTCAGAAATTCAGAAATTCAGAAATTCAGAAATTCAGAAATTCAGAAATTCAGAAATTCAGAAATTCAGAAAGTCAGAAATTCAGAAATTCAGAAATTCAGAAATTCAGAAATTCAGAAATTCGGAAATTCAGAAATTCAGAAATTCAGAAATTCAGAAATTCAGAAATTCAGAAATTCAGAAATTCAGAAATTCATAAAATTCAGAAATTCAGGAATTCAGAAATTCAAAAATTCAGAAATTCAGGAATTCAGAAATTCAAAAATTCAGAAATTCAGAAATTCAGAAATTCAATAAATCACTGATTTTTCAAAAATCAAAAAGTTTTTTTTAATTTTCTGATTTTTTGAAAATCGCTAAAAACGTCTTTTTTTCTAATTTTTTGGTATTTTTCGGATTGAAAAATGTCCAAATTTTTGGAATCTTTTGTGCAATTTGCGAATTTAAATTCCCAAAGTTTGCATAATTTGAAATTTTGAATTACCAAAAAAAGAAAACTAAAATTCATTTATTTACATTTTTACAATTTATTTTTGAAAAAAAAATCTGTACAAAAAATTTACACATTGTCAATTTCAAGAAATCGAAAAAAAATTGTCCAAAAAAAGTTTAATGTACCCATCGGAGCCAGTTCCAAATCCCATACCTCTTGCAGATCCAACTATTCCACCGTTCCAACCACTTCCAGCCGATGGCCCCGATCCACCATATTGAGAATTTACGTTGGCACCATATGGGGCCAAAAGTTGACGAAGGAAACGCTGGTGGCTCCTGAAAATGTTGAGGGGTTACTGTAGGAAAAGCAGTAAAGATTTTCGGGGAACTACAGTAATCCTAAATGAGCAACTCCAAAAATGTAGCGTTCTAGTGACAACTAACTATGAGCTACAGTAATATAAACAACTATGACTCTTTCGGTGAGCTACAGTAATCCAAGCAACTACAGTAATCTAAAATTAATAATTCCAGAAGTACTGCGTTTTACAGGTAAGAAGTAACTGAATATCAGTTACAGTAACCTCAACAACAACGGCTGCTAAAAATGTGAGTGGTACTTTAGGATTTTAGTACTGTAATCTTAAATACTCTGGCTAACAGCTACTGCAAATCAGGAAACTACAGTAAGATTTTAGTAAAGTAATCCTAACAACTAGGTTGCCAGCTATCGTAATCCAAGGAACGACAGTAGAATTTCAATACAGTATCCCTATCTACAGTAACCTGAATGATTATCTCCCGTAAATTAGTGTCTGGAAATTCTGAATTCCTGAATCTCAGAATGGCAAAAGGTTACTGTAACCAAGACACCGTAATCCTAGACCAGCCAAAATTAAAAATTCTGGATTACTGTAGGTACAGTAATCCATTAAAAAACTCACTCTCCAGTATTGCCTTCCATTTTCTTCTTTTCCTCGCTTTCACAGAAAACGGAAACAGCCAAAATGGCAAAAATCAAGAAAATACAGAATTTCATTTTTTTTAGAAATTTTTAGAAATTTTCTAATTTGTCCATGTTGATTGTACTGCTTATAAACCCACCTATTTTCGGGTACATCAAGGTGGGCGGAGCCTAATTTTTTGATCAGAATCTGATCTGTTTATTTGATGTTTCTCGGCGGTCAGAAGCACGTGAATTTTTGGAAAAATAGTACTAAACTTTTTTTCTGAAAATATTTTTTTCTTTAAAAATCCCAAATTATTAGTAGATCACAAATAGAACGATTTCGGGACAAACAATATAGAAACAAGAAATCATAGATGACGTCGGAGGAATCAGAATCTCAAATTTTGATTTTTGAAAATCAGAATTTTTGGAAATCAGATGACGTCAAAAGAAAAGGAGAAGAATCAAAAGATGAACTTTTTGAGATAAGGTAAACAACAGAAGACATGATGAACGTGATAAGAAGATCGGGACAATTTGTGTGTTCTTTGATCACAGTTTTTTTTGAAAAATTGAGATTTTGAAAAAAAAATGTTTTTTGAAAGTTTTCGAAATTTGTGAACTCTGAAAATTCGTTAAAAACTAGTCAGATCTATCAAATTTTAAGTTGTCTAGCTCATCTGGAAGCCTAGATACAGCGTTTTGAAGATTTGAAGAGAGACAGTTAGAGTGTCTCGTTGTCTGCGTCTCTAGCCTCCTTAGCTTCAAATCGCTATATCTCGGCTCCTTAAGGATAAATTTGATTGGTTTTTGTTGTTTTTTTGAAGATAGCTAAAATTTCGAAAAATTTTGAAAAACAACTTTTTCATAATTTTTAAAAAGAGGATTCATCTGTATAATTCTAGAAGTATGGAACTCATAAAAAATGAAATATTTTTGTCAAAAAATCATATTCCTAGCTCTTCTGGGAGACGAGATATAGTGATTTAGAACTTTTGGGCGAGAGACGCAGACGACGAGACACTCTAACTGTATGCGTCTCTCACCCGAAAAACTTTGAAGCGCTGTATCCCGTTTGAGTTCTCTAGCTCACCTGTGAGCTGAGATACAGCGCTTCAAAGTTTGAAGAGGCGCAGACAGCTAGAGTGTGTGAGTGTCTGCGTCTCTCCTAACTTCAAAGCGCTGTATCTCGGCTCCCAGATGAGCTGGAAAAATGAGAATCGTGATAGATCTGACTAGGTTTTAACGAAATTTCAGATTTCACAAAGTTCAAAAACATTTATTTTTGTAAAATCAAGAATCTTTTTCGGGACTTCATACATCAATTTTTCAGAGATTTACTGTTTTAGAAACAATATTGACGGATGTCTGTCATCGATGTCTCATGTTAATTCGACAATGAAAATCTCGGAAAGTGGGACCAAACATCTGAAACAGAAAACAGTAGAAACCAGCGTCACACATCTCTTGTCTCTAGAATCTTCTATTTTTTTGGATTGTAAAAACTTCCAAAAATCATGTCAACAACCTATACACACGTGTAGAGAAAATAGAGAAACCAATGAAACAGGGGAAGAATTGATAAGATATTGATGCGCAACAATTTGTACTTGAATTGACCGGGAAAAATGGAAAAAGAAATCTGAATTTCTGAATTTCTGAATTTCTGAATTTCCGAATTTCTGAATTTCTGAATTTCTGAATTTCTGAATTTCCGAATTTCCGAATTTCTGAATTTCTGAATTTCTGAATTTCTGAATTTCTGAATTTCTGAATTTCTGAATTCCTGAATTTCTGAATTTCTGAATTTCTGAATTTCTGAATTTCTGAATTTCTGAATTTCTGAATTTCCGAGAAATTTCATATTCTCGACATATTGAAGAGCACACAATACCTTATTCCCCCACTCCCCCTCCCTTGTGTACGCCATCGGTCGCTAAAAAGAAATGTGATCAGGTGGCCGAGTGGTTAAGGCGATGGACTGCTAATCCATTGGGGTTTCCCCGCGTGAGTTCGAATCTCATCCTGATCGAATATCTTTTGCTTTTTGTGTGGAGGGATTTTTTGATGTTTTTTTATTGATATGACTCACAGTTTTCATTTTTTTTTGAACTCAAGATTTCAAAAAAACAAAATCTAAAAGTGCATAAAAAACTGGTCAAATCTGTCAAAGTTTGAGTGCTCTAGCTCTTCTGGAAGCCGAGAAACAGCAATTTGAAGTTTTGAAGAGACGCAGGCAGTTATACTGTCTCGTTGTCTGCGCTCTCCCCCTTGCACACAGTATCTCGTACCTAGAATTCAAAGCGCTGTATCTCGGGTCCCAGAAGAGCTAGAAAAGTCAAGCGTACGCTGATTTGATTAGTTTTTGATGTATTTTTTAAATTCCCAATATGTAGAAATTCTGAAATTCAAAAAAAAAAAATCAAAAAATAATATGGCACATAATTTATTGATTATAGAAGATAATTAGTCTTGTAAAAGGAACACAAGACTTGTCAAAATTATACATAATTATAATAATTACAGTAATCCATTGATATCGATTGATTGATTTATCCCCACATTGGATAACCGTATCCCATTCCTCGCATACCGTACATTCCCATTCCCCATGGACGTCCCCATCCCATTCCACCGTAACCCATTCCGCCGTATCCACCGTAGTATCCCCAGCGGCGGGCGCGATTGTGACTGAAAACGGATTGAATTTGGTTTGGCGGGAAATTTGAAAATTTTGGGTTTATTTTTAAAAAAACTTCCAAAAAGTCAATTTTGACTCAAATTTTCCAAAATTTTGGATCGTTTTTGGGGTTTCCTAGGCCCTAAAATTTAAATTTCCAGTCTGAAATACGCTTAGAAATCATCTCACGTCTCAGCCTGAGCACTCATTTGTTGATCTCCAGTATCCATTTGAGTATGAGTTTCTGCTCCTGGTCCCGTGCTCATTTTGGTCTCCATTTCAGCGCGTTTTCCCATGGAATGACTGAAAATGTTGGATTTCAGATGTAAAAATCGAGTTTTTCAGGTTTTTTGGGTTCGAAATGTCCAAAACTTCGAAAAAAAGTTTCAACAAATTTTTTTTTCTTTTCTGAAATCCCAAAACTCACATATTAGCCTGCGCATCAGATTGATGTCCTAATCTTTTGTCCATTTTTGTCTGTGACTCAATTCCAGCACTTCCAGCCTCACCGCCCGTATTCACCTGCGTCTCCATTCGGGTACTGTAGACTACAGTAGCCAGTAGGGCAATTAGGAAAAAAAATTTCATCTTTTTAGATTTTTTTAAAATTCAAAATCTGTTGGTTTTCTATGGATTTTAGGGGATATTTTATATGGATTTGGCATCCCTGAAAAGTGGGCGGAGCCTAAAAAATGGTTTTTAATCCATTAAAATTTGTTTGTTTTTGGGAAGAAATTCACGTGATTTTTGAAAAATTAACAGTAAGTTTCATGGAAAATTAGAAAACTTGGATTTGTTGTTCTTTCAAAAAATATATAATGACGTAATTCTATTTGGGTGTCCTTGAAAAACCTAATTGGACTGTCTGGTGATTTTGAAAATCAAAGAAGAGAAAAATAAAAATAAATAAACAAATTCAGCGAAAAATGATGAATGAATCAGAAAAAACTGGTTCTGAAAATATATTTTCAGACAAATTTCAGAAAATTATTGACAATTTTTATTGAAATTTTTAGAAAATTTCGAAAGCCTCATAAAATTTGATATTCTGAATTTCCCGAATTCTCAAAAGTTCGATTTTACCTTTTAAAATTTTTATCATTTGTGGTTTTCTGAAATTCTGGAATTTTGAGATTCTGAGATTCTGAAATTCAATGTACCTACAGTAATCCAAAATATTCCATTTTGCTTGTCTAGGACTAAGGTATCTCCCTCGTAGATTACTGTACCACTAGTTTATGGGAGATAATCAGTCAGGATTACTGTAGGAAAATACTACTGTATTAAAATCCTACTGTGCTTTTCCTCGGATTAAAGTAGCTGGTAGCCAGTGTCATTAGGATTACTGTAAAATTCCAAAGTTCTAGAATTCTTGAAAACTTCAAAGCATCTGAAAAATAAAAAGAAATCACTGAAACAAAAAATGCCTGAAATTTTCAATATTCGCATTTCCAGATTCTAGAAAACAATTTTTTTCAAAAATTCAATTGCTTCGAAATTTGTGATTTTCTCAGAATCTCAAAATCAGATTGCCTAGCTTTTGGAAATTTCTTAATTCTTGATTTGTTTTGAGATTCCAAACTACAAATCCTACAGGCAGTTTACCTGTTTTCTATGTTTTCTCTGTCTGCGTCTCTCCACTTGACCACTCTCTCCGAATGTCTCCAGATGACCACCGTCATCTGAAGACATCATCTGTTTTTTTCTTAACTGTCGGTTTGTTTTCGGTTTCAAAACCCCAAAAATCCGATCTGATCAAATCCCAAGCTCCGCCCACTTTTCAAATCCATATAAAAAGATTGTTCGAAATCCTAAAAAATCATCAAAACCTTCAAAAATCTTTTTAAAAAATGAGATTTCTAATTCTATTGGCTATTTTGGCTCTTGGAGCATTTGCTACGGAAATTAACACTGATGTCAATTTGAATACCCCACCAGGAACTTCAACAAAATTCAAAGTGACCACGACTCACACGAAAACAGTTCAAGAGTAAGTTTTTGAGATTTTGGGCCAAATTTGAGAGATATTAGGTTCAAAAATTAGGTTTTTTGACCGTAAATTGACAAAATACTGCCCGAAATCGAATACTTTCAGCCAAAAATTGCACTTTTCTTGACTATAAATTCTTGAAATTTCCACTTCTCTAGCAGAAAACCGTCAAAAACAATTTTCAGACGTCCATTGGGGACACAAATGAGTTCGGGACCAAGTGCAGAGCTAAATACTCAAATGGATACTGGAAATCAACAAATGAGTGCTCAGGCTGAGACGTAAGATTATTTTCTAGCATATTTTGAACTGGAAATTTGAATTTTACAAAAACCCCAAAAACGATCCAAAATTTTGGAAAATTTGAGTCAAAATTGACTTTTTGGAAGTTTTTTTAAAAATAAACCCAAAATTTCAAATTTCCCGCCAAACCAAATTCAATCCGTTTTCAGTCACAATCGCGCCCGCCGCTGGGGATACTACGGTGGATACGGCGGAATGGGTTACGGTGGAATGGGATGGGGACGTCCATGGGGAATGGGAATGTATGGTATGCGAGGAATGGGATACGGTTATCCAATGTGGGGATAAATCAATCAATCGATATCAATGGATTACTGTAATTATTATAATTATGTATAAATTTGACAAGTCTTGTGTTCCTTTTACAAGACTAATTATCTTCTATAATCAATAAATTATGTGCCATGTTATTTTCTAGGTGATCTAGGAGCCGAGATACGGGCATTTGAAGTTTAGGCGACTAGAGAGTGTGTGGAAGGGGGAGGGCGCAGACAACGAGACACTCTAACTGTCTGCGTCTCACAAAAATTATATAGCTGTATTTCGGCTTACAAAATACCTAGGATTATGCTTTTTTGACTGAAATACTTCATTTTTTAGCTTTAGGTTATCAAATGCTTAAATTCAGTAAAATCATTCTACATAGTCTCAAAAAACTATTTTCAGCATGTGGTGGTGGCCTAGAAACGGCACCGAGAGCCCTTATTAAGCGTAGGATTCTCAGAACAACTAGTTTTTTTTTTGAAAACTAGACTTTAAACATTTTTTTCATTCAATAATATTGAAATTATGAGTCACATCCGTGAAAAAAACAGCGAAAAAACAATCTACACAAAAAGCAAAAGAGATTCGATCAGGATGAGATTCGAACTCACGCGGGGAAACCCCAATGGATTAGCAGTCCATCGCCTTAACCACTCGGCCACCTGATCACATTTCTTTTTAGCGACCGATGGCGTACACAAGGGAGTGGGAGAGTGGGGGTAGGCGGAGAGAGAGAGGAGGCGAGCAGAGAAAAGTGGTAAGGGGTCAGTGTGTGTTAAGAGGACTCCGGGAGTGGGAGAGGAGCTGGAAAATGGAGGAAATGATTGAAAATGAATGGAAATCGAAGGTTTTAGTGTGGAAAAATGGAAAAATCATGAAAATCTGGTTTAGAAAGTGTTAAAAACAGGAGATAAGGCATAATACAGGTGAATTATAGAACTTTTAGAATTTTAAGAAGTTTTCATCGGATTTTTCAATTATTTTGAAATTTTTGGATGGCCTAACTTTCTCCGGGTGGCCTAAAAATCCAGTGTTTCCCATGAATCGTCACGGACAACAAATAAAACCGGAATAATAGAAAAAAAAGGGAAAAACATAAAGTAAATAAAAATTTGTAAAGAAATTGAGAATTTATGGGAAAAATATGTTTTGTGTATGAAACTTTTTTGGTTTTCTAAAACATTTTGTATTGCTGAAACTGGAACTTGCTGAAAATTTTGTACTAGAACATTCTGGAAATTTTTTAGGAGGATTTTTTGAGGAAAAGGAATGCTCAAGGTATGTTTGAAATTGTGCGATTCTGAAATTTTGAAATTCTGAGATTCTGAAGTTTAGAATCTCTGAAAAAAGCTGTAATTTTTAAAAAGGGCCAAAATTCTGAAATTCTGAAAATTTGAAATTTTCAGATTCTCAATATCTTACTATTAGATTATTAGATTCTCAGATTTGGAAACTTCAAAATTCTGGAATGCTAAACTTCTGAACTTCTGAAATTCTGAAAATTTTGAAAAATCTGGAAAATTCTAAAGTTCTGAAAGTCTGGGAAAATGTGAAAAATTGAAAAAATCTGGAAAAAACTGAAAACCTTTAGAATTCTGAATTTTGTGAATTCTTAGAAAATTACCGAAAAACTGAGAATATAATTTTTAAAGCTGAAAATTCAACGATAACTCAAAAAAGTCTGAAAATTAAAAAAAAAATCGAAAACTGTCAAAATCTCAAAAAAGGCTGAAATTAAAACAAAAACTGATAATTCTGGAAAAAATCCAATTCACCCAAAAAATGAAAAAAAAACTGCTACCCTTTTTCTCATTTCCTTATCATTATCACTCACTTTTCATCCACTTTCTGGCACTTACTATAAATATTTTACAAAAAAATTGAAAAGGAAAATTTCGGACAAATAGAAAAAAAAGGAAAAAAAGGTGGAAATTCAAATATTTGTACAAATTGATTGATAAGGAAACTTTTGGAAAAAAAGAGATTTTTGAGTTTTGTCAAAAGTCTGAAAACTCTAAAAATAAAAATGACCCGAAAAATTTTTTCAGTTTTCTTTAAATTTCAGTTCAGAATTTTCCGAATTATTCAAATTCTCTGAATTCTTATTTTTTGGAATTTTTCGAATTTTCGTCCTTATGAAAATTATTTCAGGTTTTCGAATTTTTATGATTTTGGAAATTTTTAGAATTTTTAGATTTGAAAAGAATTCTGAAAATTTCAGATTTTTTTCAGAATTTGCAAATTTTGGATTTTTTCAGAATTTTTTAAAAGTTTTGGGACGTCTCCGAAATTCAGAATTTCTAATTTTCTGGAAATTCTGAATTTCGGAATTCCAGAAATTCGGAATTTTAGGAAGTCCGAAAAAGGAAAATATAATAAAAAAAATCCAAAAAAAAAAACGGAACATCTGAAAAAAAGCCAAAAACTATTGAAATTCAAAAAAAAGCTGGAAAAAATCTAGAAATCCAAAAAAATCTGAAAAGTCTGAAAATTCAAGATCCGCTGGAAAAAAAATAGAAAAACTGAAAATAGGAAAAATTGAAATTTGCGAAAATAAAATAAATTTCGAGAAATCAAAAAATTCAAATTCTGAATTTCTGAATTTCCTTTTTCTCATCAAACTAGTACTGATCTCTTTTAAAAATTCCTTCCCCTTCTGACTAATATCAATTTCTTCTCTATTCTCTCTTCTTCCATTTTCTCATTTTCTCCTTTTAATTGGTTAATTGGTCCATTCCTCTTCTCTTCGTTTTATTCCGTACAATCTGTCAATTTGATAAGACGAGAGAGTGTACAAAACAAAGAGAGTGGTTCGAGAAAACAGAGAAAAACGATCCAATACTTATTCTTTTTCTATATATGTGTTCGGGTATCCGATACCTTTTTGAATCATTTTGCTTTTGATTTTTTGCTTTTTTTGATTTTCGTGGATTCGGTTTTTTGAATTGATATCTAGGTGACAAAAAACATAGAAATAGATTATTGATGTCTCTTTTTTGGTTTTTTTTTTGGAAATTTGAACGTTTGATTTTTGAGATTTTTGAATTTTTCCAGGATTTTTCAAATCTCTAGGTGTTTCTAGATTTTTAGTTGTTTTCTGATTTTTCAGACTTTTTGAGACTTTTTGAAGTTTCAGTTTTTCAGAAATTTCCAAGTATTTTTCCAGTTTTTTCGAAATTTGAGATTTATTGAATTTTTGAATTTTTGGATTTATTCAATTTTTGGATTTTTGAATTTTTGGATTTCTGAATTTCTGAATTTCTGAATTTCTGAATTTCTGAATTTCTGAATTTTTGGATTTCTGAATTTCTGAATTTCTGAATTTCTGAATTTCTGAATTTCTGAATTTCTGAATTTTTGAATTTCTGAATTTCTGAATTTCTGAATTTCTGGATTTCTTAATTTCTGAATTTCTGAATTTCTGAATTTCTGAATTTCTGAATTTCTGAATTTCTGAATTTTTGAATTTCTGAATTTCTGAATTTCTGAATTTCTGAATTTCTGGATTTCTTAATTTCTGAATTTCTGAATTTCTGAATTTCTGAATTTCTGAATTTCTGAATTTCTGAATTTCTGAATTTCTGAATTTCTGAATTTCTGAATTTCTGAATTTCTGAATTTCTGAATTTTTTTAGAATTTTAGAATTTTACAGTTTTATTCTTATCCGTGGCCTAGAAATCCCACATCTCTCAACATTGAAATCATGGCCTAACATTCTTATCCGTGGCCTAGAAATCCCATTTTTCTGTATTTTGAAATCCTGGCCTAACTTCCTGATCCATGGCCTAGAGACCCCACTTTTCTTCGTTTTGAAATTATGGTCTAACTTTTTATATGGCCTAGAAATGCCAAATTTCTTGAAATTTCGAATCATGGCCTAACTTTCCTATTCATGGCCTAGAAATCCCACTTATTTGAAATTTTGGCCTAACTTTTATGGCCTGGAAACCCTACTTTCCTTTAATTTAAAATCATGGACTAACATTCTCATCCATGGCCTAGAAATCCCATTTTTCTGAATTTTGAAATCATGGCCTAAAATTATCATCCGTGACCTAGAAACCCCACTTTCCTTAATTTTGTAATCATGACCTAACTTTCTGTTTTCTCTTTGCCCGCGTGGCTCAGTCGGTAGCGGCGCCGCACCCTCAATCATCGCCCTCACAAGTTCAACTCCTCGAGAGGCATTTTTGAACGGAATTTCGAGAACATTATTTTTTTCATGTCCCCCCCCCCTTTAATTTCCAAATCATGGCCTAGAAATGATGGCTTAACTTTCTCAAAATTTTTTTTCAAAACTCAATTTTTTCCAGATGACCGTATCCTATAATCTCGACGTCTCATCAGTCTCCTTCTTCAACTTTTTTCGGGTATGAAAATGTTTTGTAGTCTTTGTAGTATGTAGTCTCTAACTTTCAGGTTCTATTCAGATGGCGTGGGTCCGTCTGGAAATCGATATGGTCCGAATTAATGATTTGGCTGATTTTCTATTATATGGTTATGGTCACCTATAGATTCGCATTGGATTCAGAGAAACGAGAGTACGGTAGTTTTTGGTGGCCTAGAATTTTTTCTAGGCTACCAAGCTCAAAATTTTTAAAAATTTTATTTGGTTTTAGGGAGGTTCGAAAATATATCGAAAATTTGCACGAAAATTTGGACAATTGCGTTCCGCTGACTTTTATGCTCGCATTTTTTGTTACAGTAATCGTTGACAGGTGGAAGAACATTTTTGCGAATATTGGATTTATTGAAAAGTGAGTTTTCTAGGCCATGGAGGAGATAGTTAGGCTATGATTCTCAAATTGAGAAAATTTAGGTTTCTAGTTCATCTTAAAGAAGACATCTCAAAATCAAGAAAAAGGGGTTTCTAGGCCATGGAACATAAAATTAGGCCATGATTTCTAAACTGAGAAAAGGGGTTCTCTAGGCCACGAAACCTTATTTTATGTTCAATGCATTACATAAAGTTAGGCTATTATCCCATAATTAAGGGATATGGGGTTTCTAGGTCACGGGATGAGAAAGTTAGGCCATGGTTTCAAATTCAAGAGGTGTGGGATTTCTAGGCCATGGGATGGGAGAATTAGGCCATTATTCGAAAACTATGGAAAGTGGGATTCCTAGTCCACGGGATGGAAAAGTTACGTCATGATATCAAAATAAGGAGAAATGGGATAAAGTTAGGCCATGTTTTACAAAGTGGATTTCTAGATCATAGAAAAAAGTTAGGTCATTATCCCAAAATTGAGGAAAGTGGGATTTCTAGGCCGCGGGATGAGAAAGTTAGGCCATGATTTCAATTATAAGAAATGTGAGATTTCTAGGTCACGAGATAGGAAAGCTAGGTCATTTTATCAAAATAAGAAGAAACGGGATTCCTCGGCCCCGGAACAGAAAGTTAGAGCACGACCCAAAAAATAAGGAAATGGGATTTCTAGGCCAGACAACAAAAAGTTAGGCCATCATTCCATGAAAGTGGGATTCCTAGGCCACCTAGGAAAATCCTAGGGCACCTCACTAATTTTTCTCTTCCAGCACAGCCCTGGCAATTGCCACATTGGTCCGGGGAACCGAACCGGAAACGGTGCTAACCAGACGGACAATAATTAGGTACTTGGTACTTTCTCAGGTGAGTCATGGCCTTGGATTTTCTAGGTCAATTTTTAGATGGCCTAGGACCTTCTAGGCCACTGTTTTCTAGGCCACGATTTTCAGGTCCTCGTATTTCGGGACATCTCGCTGAAAGTGCGTCGACGATTTCCCAACATTGACTCTATTATCAAATCGGGTAATTTGAAAAATTTTTGGCGCCAAAATTCAAAGAAAAATGTTTAGGATTCCTCCAAGAGCATGAAGCTGTAATATTGGAAGAAATCGATTGCCCATATAATAAATATTGGGTGCCCATCAATTGGGCATCCGCCGTGTTACAGAAGGTTTTTGTTGTGAGTGTGCAGTGGGGTTACTTCCTGTTGGCACGTGGTGGCCTAGAAATTGCATGTTGGCCGAGAAAGTTTAAATGTCATTTTTCGGGGAAATGTGAGCTTCCTAGCTCATCTGGGAGCTGAGATACAGCGCTTTGCAGTTAAGGAAGCTAAAGACGCAGACAACGAGACACTCTAATTGTCTGCGTCTCTCCGAACTTTAAACGGCTGTATATCGGCTCACAGAAGGTCTAGAAATATGATTTTTTTTTTTGCTGATTATCATTTAAAACATGAATTTCATTACCCCGATTTTAGGTTGTTTTTTTAGAATGATTTTTGATATTTTCCTAGAAATTCAAAATAAATATGAAACCGATGAAACCTGTGAAGTTTCGAGCTTTCTAACTTTTCTTGGAGCCGAGATATAGTGTTTTTAAAGTTTATGTGGTGAGAGACGCAGACAGCCAGACACTATAACTGTCTGGGTCTCTTCAAAACTTCCAATGGATGTATCTCGGCTCACAGATGGGATATGATTCTGGTTTTTTCACAAAATGCTTCAATTTCTTTACTTTATATTATGGAATTTTGAAATCACCATGAATTTCAAAAAGCTTTTTCGAGCAAATTCAAAAATAGGGATTAGCATGTGGTGGCCTAGAAACAGCACTGGATCTAGCCTAGGGTTCTCAGACAAACCAAAATCTTGATTTTTCTATAAGTAACATAAAATTGCATGACAACCAAGCTTTTGGGGCTCGTCGCCTAGCTTTAGCATAGTGGCCTAACTTTCTGTGCCTAATTTTCTAACTTGTAGCCAAACTTTTTCAGTATGGCCTAGTTTTCCCAATCTGACTGAAAATTTATTTTTTAAAAAAACCACCTTTCTAGCTCTACTATGAGCCAAGATACAGCAATTTGAAGTTTTAAAGAGACGAAGACAGTTAGAGTGCCTCGTCGTCTCCAACGGCTGTATCTCAGCTCCCAGATGAGCTAGGAAACTGAAAGTTTCACATATTTGATTCGTTTTTGGTGTATTCTGTAATTTACTAAACATTTAGAAAAAAAAATATTTTTTCGAAATTTTACAAATTTTCTGGATTCATGACCTATTATTTTCTTTTCCAGGAAGGCAAAATCACAGCGGCTCCTCTATTCAACGCCGCGTGGCAAGAAGTGAAAACTTTCCGTTCAAATATGGCGATTCTCTGTAATTTCGATTGGGTCCCAATTCCATTGGCATATCCACAAGTAATTTTTGTAGCCGTTCGATTCTATTTCTTTATGTGTCTTTTTACAAGACAACACTTAGATATGATGGATAAACGGACGGTATGCTTGACATTGATTTTTTCAGAAAAATTTTTGAATTTCCGAATTTCTGAATTTCCAGATCGACTACTACTTCCCGATTCTTACCGTATTCCAATTTATTTTCTTCATGGGATGGATGAAAGTGGCCGAGGGTCTTCTGAATCCGTTAGGAGAGGATGACGACGATTTTGAGTGCAATTTTTTGATTGATAAGAATATTTCGGTAAGGATTACTGTAGTTTTTGGACCCTTAAACCAAAAATGAAGCGATTTTCAGACCGGAATGGCAATCGTGGACTCTACATACGATAAATTCCCAGAAATGCGACCTGACAAGTTCGCGGAGCCCGCATTTGCTCCATTCTATCCAGAAGACGTTATTGATTCTGGGGCTGATCATGCACTGATCGGTTCTGCTCAATCTGTGACGTAAGCTTTGGTGGCCTAACTTTTCAAGGCCTAACTTTTTCCAGACTTGCTGACCCAAGTGATCAGATTGATATGATGAAGGTGGATATCAACTCGCCGATTGTTGTTGGGAAAAGTAAGGAAACTTTTTTGCCCTATCTACAGTATCCAGAATTCTCGAACTCAAAAAATTTGAGCTTTCTAGCTTGTCTGGGGGCTGAAATACAGCCTTTTGAAGTTTTGAGGTGAGAGACGCAGACGACGAGATCTCTTTGACTGTCTGCGTCTCTTTAAGACTTCAATTCTATGTGTCACGGTTAACGGGAGGGCTAGAAATTTGATCCTTTCACTTAAATGCGTCTTTTTCATGTTTTATGTCTTCCAATATTCCAATTATGAGTTTAGAGATTTTTCGAAAATCATGGGTCCTACGGTTTTTTCTGAAACTTTCAAAGTTTTGAACAAATTTCAAAGTTCACCAAAAATCATCAAATCTGGGAAATTTTGAGTTTTCTAGCTTTTCTAGGAGCTGAGATACATACGTTAAAAATTTTGGGGCGAGAGACGCAGACAGCGAGGCACTCTAACTGTCTGCGTTTCTTCACAACTTCAAAGCGCTGTATCTCAGCTCACAGAAGGGCTAGAAATGTGATTGTTTCACTAAAATAATTAATTTTCTTTGTTTTTTATTATTAGAACTGAATTTAGAGAAAATTATTTTTTGAAAAGATGGCTTTGCGAGTGATAGTCTAAAAAGCTTATATATAGCCTAAGCTTTCCGTAGCTACAGTAACCCTGAAACTATCTTTTCCAGCCGACTCGACCACTTCAACATTCCGTCGTCGATTATCTTCTGCATTTGGCAGACGTACCAGAAGTCATTCTGTCCAACATTTGGGTCCAGAAAAACTAGAACCTGATACCCCATTCAGTCAATCCATGGCTCCTCAAAGACCATATGGTCCATTTGAACTGTCGAATGGATTCATGTCATCTGGAGGGTTTAATCATATTTCATCGAATGGTCATTTACCAAAATTAGAAGAAGAGGAATCGACTTCTGTGGATTCAGATGCGGTGAGAATTGTTTCATTTGGTTCTCAAAATTTTTTGGAAAATCCCATTTTGCCTGAAAATTCGAAAATTCTCTCAAACATCCAGAAACATTCCAGACCGAAGTAAACACCATCTCGCCTCCCTCTTCCCATGCACCGGATCCACCTACAGTACCCCCGCAAACTACAGTAACACAACCAGTATTTGTAGTTTCAAGGACAATAAGCGAGGACACTTTGGGACCAACAAGTCCCACGTTACCATTTAATCAGACCTTGGAAAATGATAATGATGGGTTGGGAAGGATGAAATTTTAACTATATTCTCAAATTTTTGCATTTTTTAAAAAATGTTGAATTTTGAAATTTGTTGATAGCATAATAAACATTAAAAAAATTTCCGATTATGGTAATTTATTAACATTTTTCCATTTTCAGTGAAAATTGCCGTTTTTGGATCGTAGATTACATTTGGCCTAACTTAAGGAGTCTGAAATTTCAATTTCCAGAGAAAAATGGTCAATTTTGAGGTCCTACAAAAGTAGTTCAGAATTTTTCAATTTGTCTGAAAATTTCAGAGTATACTGAACAAAAATAGATCTTTAATTTTGTAGTTAACAACTTTTTTGTAGAAATTCATTGAAAAAGAAATCCCTCTTGAAACGTACCAAGACAATTTTTGACTTGAAATTCAAAATTTCTACCGTAACCTTGCACTTTGAGCCTGTATATCTCGGTTACTGTAAGAGATATCAAAATATTGCCAACTGATAAAATGCTAATCATAATATAAGAAGTAGCGATTTTCAAAATTTTTAATTCTCGAAGGCATAAACAAAAATGGTTCAAATTTCTGTAATTCGTCACAGAAAATACTAAACTACTGATAAATGTCATAATCGATGTGTTTTTGTCCAGAAATACTTCATTTCAACGCAATCATGAAAAATATGGTTTTAATTACATTATTTCTGTTGATTTTCAATTTTGCGAAAAGTTACGTGATGGCACAGAAATTGAAGGCTTCGAATTCTGGGAATTTGGAAATTTTACGTGATTCACAGAAATTGAACGTTTCAATTTCTGGGATTTTTCACAGAATTCGAACGGTTCGAGTTCTGGGATTTTGGAAATTCACGTGATTCACAGAACTCGAAGCTTTCAATTTCTGGGATTCTGGAAAAGCTTGGGGGGGGGGGGGGGTAGGGATTCAAGAAGGGTCGTGATAAAGCAAAATGAATATTAGGAAACTATCGTTGGACTTGTTGTTTTCTATAAAACGGATCCTTCGAGCTTGAAGATAATTTTTCGATGTGAGCTCTCTGTTGGCTGAAAAACTAGTTGAAAATTCTGAATCGTATTGGAAGGGTTGAAGTAAAAAAAATTTTTTATTCAAAACTTACTATTGTCACATACAGTACTTTAGGATGAAATTGGTTGAGTTGGTGGAAAAATGTTGTTCAAAAGCTATAAAAGATTCCACTTGGTGTCGAAGAAAACTCAGTTTTCTTCGACGGAAAATCAATAAAAATCCGTGTTGCCAATTTTTCAAAACTTTTTCAAATTTTCAAAACATCACGTGGAATCTTTTATAGCTTATGAACAAAAATTTTCCACTATCTCGATCAATTTCATTTAAAAGAACTGTATGTGACAAAGGTCAGTCTTAAGCTTTGTATTTATATTTTTACTTCAACCCTTCCAATACGATTCAGAATTTTCAACTAGTTTTTCAGCCAACAGAGAGCTCACATCGAAAAATTATCTTCAAGCTCGAAGGATCCGGTTTATGGAAAACAACAAGTCCAACGATAGTTTCCTAATATTCATTTTGCTTTATCACGACCCTTCTTGAATCCCTACCCCCCCCCCCATGCTTTTCCAGAATCCCAGAAATTGAAAGCTTCGAGTTCTGTGAATCACGTGAATTTCCAAAATCCCAGAATTCGAACCGTTCGAGTTCTGTGAAAAATCCCAGAAATTGAAACGTTCAATTTCTGTAAATCACGTAAAATTTCCAAATTCCTAGAATTCGAAGCCTTCAATTTCTGTGCATCAAGTGTTCTTTTTTATCACCGAATAAGTATATATTTGTGTATCGAAACAATTCTATTGCAAGTACAGGAAATACTACTCGAAAAGGCTTTATCGTTTTTTATGTAAATTTGAACATTTTTTTCGTTCCGCAAAGAAAATGCAAAATTACTGAAACTTCACAGAAATTTTGGAAATCGAAGTGATTTGGGATGAAAATTGAAAATTTTGAAAATCGCTCCTTCTTATATCATTTATATTTTATCAGTTGACTTCTTTTTTATATCTTTTACAGGGGCCGTGATATATAGGCTCATAATAGATGGTTTGTTGGACTTCTATTTGAGTGTTCACGGTATTTTTTTTTTCAAAAAAAAATATACCAGGATTTACCAGAATTTATCTCGGTTACTGTAAGAGATATCAAAAATGTGTCAACTAATAAAATGTTTATCATAATATTATTTATATTTTATCAGTTGACTACTTTTTTATATCTCTTACAGGGACCGAGATACATGGACTCAAAGTTGATGGTTTGACTGGAAATTTTGAGTTTTCGGATTTTCCTTGAATGGCTATTAATTTGAATATTTCAGTTTTTCAAAATTTACTTTATCCTTCTTGTTCCTCTTATTTCTGAAAAAATAATTTTTTGAAAAAATTTCAAAAAAAATTTTGCTCACTTTTTATTTTTCTCATTTTTCAGCCAGGCCTTCTTTTCTTCAGCGTGTTTGGCACTGAAAAATTTTGTTTTATCAAATTAAAGATTTTTCAAAAAAAGATTATTAATTTTCAAAATTTTTCGGAATTTTCAAAAATTTGAATTTCCAGAAAAAATTTCAAAAAAGTTACTTACCTTCCATTTCTTTCCTTCTGTTTGTCAGGGTGATTCGGGCTGAAATTTGAATTTACGAACGAGATTTTTTGAACAGAATTTTGAGGGAAATTTCAAAAGTTGGAGAAATTTTTGGAATTCAAATTCCATTTCGAAAAATTGATAGATTTGGATATTTTAAGTAGAAAAATCTTACGATTTGAGAAAAAATAACTCATATTTGTATTTTATGTTATAGATGGTTTCGGAAATAGCAAAGAGGATCCAGAAAACGACCCACGCGACCGTGAAATACCTGAAATAATTGAAATCAAAATTTTGATGAAAAAAAGTCAAAAATTCAAAATTCAGAAATTCAGAAATTTAGAAATTTAGAAATTCAAAAATTCAACAATTCAGAAATTCAGAAATTCATAAATTCAGAAATTCAGAAATTCAGAAATTCAGAAATTCAGAAATTCAGAAATTCAGAAATTCAGAAATTCAGAAATTCAAAAATTCAAAAATTCAGAAATTCAGAAATTCAGAAATTCAAAAATTCAGAAATTCAGAAATTCAAAAATTCAGAAATTCAGAAATTCAGAAATTCAGAAATTCAGAAATCAGAAATTCAGAAATTCAGAAATTCAGAAATCATAAATTCAGAAATTCAGAAATTCAGAAATTCAGAAATCATAAATTCAGAAATTCAGAAATTCAGAAATTCAGAAATCATATATTCAGAAATTCAGAAATTCAGAATTCCAGGATTTCGGAGCTTCTGAATTTCTGAATTTCGGAGTTTCTGAATTCCAGAGTTTCGGAATTTCAGAGTTTCAGAGTTTCAATATCTCAGGATTTCAGAACCTCAGAAAATTAGAAATTTGCAAAAAAAACTCACTGATTCAATTTCTGCTTTTCAATTTTTAAAAATCCCAAAATCGCTTTTTCCAATTTTTCTTTTTCTCCAAAAATCGCTTCTAAATTATGAAATCCTTCGAATTCTCGAATTCTTTGAGTCTCCACAGATTGCTCAACTTCGAACGTCTCTTTTATAAAATTTTTCAGACTTTTCTGAAATTCGAAACTTCCAGAAATATAATCGATAGATTCTTGGAATTCTGGAATCCGCGATTTCAAATTCACGACTTCTTTCAAAACTTCTAGAATTCTTAGAATAGCTTCAAGGGAAGATCGTTCAGCGCATTTCAAAAAATCCAAAATTCCAGTGTTCTCAAAAATGTCTTCTAAGATTACTGTAGTTTTTGGGGAAGCTGAAAGTTTATCGATTTCCAATATAGATTTTTTAGTTAAATCGATTATCGATCCAGTTTGAATATTATTCTAATTTTCGTCTTCTTTAATTTCCAGAATCTTCCAATAATTTTCATTCGATTTTAAGTTTTCTATATATTCACTGATTATATTGATTTTCGAAAATTGGTGATTCATAAAATTCAAACTTCCCGCCAATTCCGAAATATTGAAAAGTCCAAAAGGCTTTAGAATTTTTACAAATTTCAATTCTTTGGAAAAAATCGATTTCACATATTCCAAATTTTGATTTTTCTTTGAAATATCCAAATCAAATTCTCCAATTCTCGAGTTAAGACGATTTTCTCATTAAACCTATCAAAGTGCTTCAGTCTCGCCGACTTTTCAGCAAATTTTTTGTTTGGTCCAAAAAATTTTCAGTTGGTTTTAAGCCAAGAATTAATGGAGATGAATCATTTAATTCCAGGAGATTTTTCTGGAAATTTTCAGAAATTCTCGGAAGATTTGGCATGGAAAATGGTTGTTCTGTAGATTTTAGAAGGGAAATTGAGGATTTTCTGACTGGAATTGTCGCTAGAGCCGCGCTAGTCATCTTAGAATCCCCTAGAATGTACTGGAGATTCTCCTGGAGGTGAATTGTGTAGTTACAGTAATCCAAAGCGATTTTTGAGAAGATTTCCATATTTTGAGCAGTGTATTGAAGACGTGGGAAGTTCTGGATACGTTCTTTGAATTTTTTGATTTCCGAAACTCGATATTCATCTTTATAGGAAACATATAATTTCTTCATGACGTTAATAAACTCTTTTAACTTCCAGGAATTTTCCGATATCCAAATCCCAATTTTTCGAAATTTCCGGCTTCCAAAATCGCTCGAATTTTTTCAAATTTATCAAAACTTTAATTCCAGAACTCAATTTTTCGAAATCTGAAAATCCGGTGATTCCTTCTATCAAATTCTTGAAGACTTCGAAATTTTTTAGAGTTCCAGCCAAATCTTCATCCAGATATTCTGAAATTGGAAATCCGAATTTTCTGAGTTGAAGAAAGTGTGTATTGTTGGAAAGTGATGGCTGAGGAGACGCTTTGAAGGATTTCCAGATCGGAAGGTGTGGCTGAAATTTTGGGAATTTAGGAAATTCGTAATTTTGAAATTTTCTTGAAATTTTTTTTTGAAAAAAAAACGATTCAGAAGTCTCAAACAACCGAAATTTCGAGAATGTCCAGAATTTTCAGAAAGTTGAATTTCATAAATTTCAGAAAATTTCGATTTGTAATTTTCGAAGTTTCTCATTTTTCGAAATTCAGATTTTCACTAAAAATAGAATTTTTTGATTTTTAAATCTGAAATTAGAAAGAAGGTATATTCGGAATCGAAAGCTCGAAAATTCAGAATTACAGAAATTGAAAACAAATGAAAATTCAAAAACTATGAAAATTCGAGAATTCAAAAATTATGGAAACTGGAAAATCTGTGTTTTCAGAATTTCAAAATTTTCAATTATTTTCAAAAATTCAAAAATATAAAAAACCCACCATTTTCTGGTCCATAAATCCCTGGAAAAATCAAAAAGGTAAAAAATAACTTGATAAAAATCCAAGAATTCCAGAATTTTCTCATAATTTTCTGAAATTTTTAAATTGAAAATGCTAAAAAACCACTCTTACAACAAAAAAAATTGGTCGATTTTCAGATGAAAATTGCTAAAAATCTAGAATCCACGTGGAAATTTCTAGAACAATTTTTCTGAAAAATTCAAAACTTAAAAAATCGCAGATTTACAAAAATTACGTGGTTTTCGAAATTCCAGATTTTAAGATTTCCATATCGAAAAAAACCAAAAAACATCCACGTATCCAATTTACAAATTTTAGTAATTTTGAAAGCTCAAGATATTTGAATTTCCCGCCAAAAATTTCTAGCGATTCTGAAGAAATGGCGCCGTCAAAAGTTGCGAAAAACAAGAGGAAGTTTACGCATTCGAATCGAAAAAGTTCACAGAGGTAATAAACTACAAACTATAAACTACAAATACTAAAAACTACAAAGACTACAAAGACTACAAGCTACAAGCTACAAAGACTACAAAAAATCAGAAAATTCTGAAATTTCTGAATTTCCGAAATTTTCCAGGTCCTCAAGCACTGGCTCCAAAACAGCTCCAAGCGTTTTGAGCAATTGTAGCTCAAGATTTTCAAGCTCGCAGAGCTCAAAAAGCTCTCAAAATACCCAAAAATCCAAGAAAAAGGATCGAAAAACGTTCAAAACCATTTACAAGGCTTCTGATAGTTTGGACAAACCAAAAGAGTGAGTTTTCGTGAATAGATCCCAAAAATTTCAGAATTTCAGAATTTCAAATTGGACCGTTTCCATTTTGGCATGGCTTCAGGGTGCGATTTGTGTCTATTTGATTTGTGGAATCGTTTTTCAAGTGATTTGGGGAAAACATGATGGGTTATGGTGGATGCTGGCGGATATTTTGTTATTTGAGGTTGGTAAATTCTGAGATTCTGAAATCCTGAAATTCTAAGATTCTGAAATTCTGGGATTCTGAGATTCTGAGATTCTGAGATTCTGGGATTCTGAAATTCTGAAATTCTGGGATTCTGAAATCCTGAAATTCTGAAATTCTCAGATCCTGAGATTTTGAAATTCCGAGATTCTAGAATTCTGGGATTCTGAGATTCTGAGGTTCTGAAATTCTGAGATTCTGAAATTCTGGGATTCTGAAATTCTGGGATTCTGAAATTCTGAGATTCTGAGATTCTGAGATTCTGGGATACTGAAATTCTGAAATTCTGAAACTCTGGGATTCTGAAATTCTAGAATTCTGAAATTCTGAGATTCTGAGATTCTGAGATTCTGGGGTACTGAAATTCTGAAATCCCGAAATTCTACGATTCTGAAATTCTGGGATTCTGAGATTCTGAGATTCTGAGGTTCTGAGATTCTGAGATTCTGAAATTCTGAGATTCGGAGATTCGGAGATTGTGAAATTCCGGAATTCTGAGGTTCTGAGATTTTGAGATTCTGAAATTCTGAGATTCTGAAATTCTGGGATTCTGAAATTCAGAGATTCTGAGATTCTAAGATTCTGAGATTCTGAAATTCTGGGATTCTGAAGTTCTGAGATTCTGAGATTCTGAGATTCTGGGATTTTGAGATTCTGAGATTCTGAGATTCTGAAATTCTGGGATTCTGAAATTCTGAGATTCTGAAATTCTGGGATTCTGAAATTCTGAAATTCTGGGATTCTGAAATTCTGGGATTCTGAAATTCTGAGATTCTGAGATTCTGAGATTCTGGGGTACCGAAATTCTGAAATCCTGAATTTCTGAATTTCTGAGATTCTGAGATTCTGAGATTCTGGGTATCTGAGATTCTGAGATTCAGAGATTCTGAGATTCTGAGATTCTGAAATTCTGGGATTCTGAAATTCTGAGATTCTGAGATTGTGAAATTCCGAATTCTGAGATTCTGGGATTCTGAGATTCTAAAATTCTGAGATTCTGAAATTCTGGGATTCTGAAATTCTGAAATTTCCAAATTTCCAAAATTTTCAGATGTTGGCTGTTCTTCAACTCATCTCCGTGGCATACCGTCCATTCATCGGCCACGTTGTCGTTTTTCTTTCATTTCAATACGTTCTTCTATGCTTTATCTTCTCAATGTTCCTCCACTCGCCCTACAGTAATGAACTGTAAGCAATGCCCACTATTCTTGAGCCTGAAAAATATAGAGCTTAGGATTTATAAAGTTAAAACATCTAACTATAGCAATTTTTATATCATATTGTAGCTCTTTTCAAGCTCTATAAGTTCAAGTTTACTAGATTTTGAAATTATGAGTTTCAGCCCTAAACCACGCCCCTTTTTCAGTTCCTTCTTTGAGAGAATGTTCGGATTGTCTGCCACGTGTTTCTTCTCATCTGCTTTTCATTTTTTCATTGTAATCCAATCGATGCGATTTGTTGGAGAATCGAAAAAACGAAAGGACTTTAGTGATAAAGTGATTGTGGAGGGGATAGAGAAGAGACGCAGAGACTTGTATACGATGATTAGTGATTTGATTACCGAGATTTGTTATGATGATAGGGATTTGTGAGTTTTTCGGGTTTTCAAGTTTTATGGGGTTCAAGTTACGTGGTTTTTGATTTTTTGAGTCTTTGCGTTTTAGATTTTTTTTTTTGGTTTTTGGATATTTGGAACTTCAGAGAATTTTTGAATTAAATTTACGTGATTTTTTAAATCCAGGACTTTGAAAAAATCGAAAAAAAACGTCAAAAATTCCGAAATTTTTTGAAAAATTAAAAAAAAAAAACGTTTAAAAAAAGTTTTTTGTTGGAAAACGGGTTTTGAATTTTGGAATTGTTGAATTTTTGAATTCTTGATTTTCTGATTTTCTGGTTTTCGAATTTTTGATTCTGAGATTCTGAAATGCTGTAATGCTGAAATTCTGAGATTCTGAAATTCTGAGATTCTGAGATTCTGAGATTCTGGGGTACTGAAATTCTGAAATTCTGAAATTCTGGGATTCTGAAATTCTGAAATTCTGAAATTCTGAGATTCTGAGATTCTGAGATTCTGAGATTCTGAGATTCTGGGGTACTGAAATTCTGAAATTCTGAAATTCTGAAATCCTGAAATTCTAAGATTCTGAAATTCTGGGATTCTGAGATTCTGAGATTCTGAGGTTCTAAGATTCTGAGATTCTGATTTTCTGGTTTTCGAATTTTTGATTCTGAGATTCTGAAATGCTGTGATGCTGAGATTCTGAAATTCTGAGATTCTGAGATTCTGAGATTCTTAGATTCCGAGATTCTGAGATTCTGAGATTTGTTGTTTTTCTTTGAATGTTAAATTTTAGAATTTTGAGATTTTGAAGTTTTGAAATTTTGATTTTTTAATTTTCTATGAATCCAAAATTTCCAAAATTTTTGAATTTTGGAAAAATTACCGTAACCCTTAATAATCCAAAAATTGGAAAAAAATTAGGGAAACGTAAAAAAATCAGATTTTCGAAATTTTAAATATTTGAAAAAGTCTCATAAATCAGTTTTCCCAATAATCAGGAGAATTTGACGCAAATATTTTGAAAATTCGAAATTTCCAAGACGTCAAATAACTATTTTTTCGAAATTTTGACTTTTTTCTTTTTTTTAAATTAACGGTAATTCAAATCAACGTGAAAACCATTCTAAAAATCTTCAATAATATCCAAGAATCAAAAAATATAAACTCTTCAAAAACGTCGAAAAAAGAGCAAAAATCCAAATTTCTCGAAATTTTCAGAAAAGTGAATTTGACGATTCGTGACGAGACTGGAAATGTGAAATCAATGCGTGGAGCAGGAGTAGAAGCAGGAGTGAATCGTGTTCTGGAAATGAACACAGACGGAGAACGAATTCATTTATCGACTAGTAACACGACATTGACACGTATCAATGTGCCAAAACACAAGAATCATCATCATGGACACCATCAAAAATCCATGAAGAAATCGGAAAATCCATTGGCTCCAATTATTAATTCAAAATATAATAATTGCTCAAAACAGGAGAAGATGTTGAGTCCCAGAAAAATTTTGGGATGAGATTTGAACTTTTTTATTGGAAGAAAAATGAATGAAGGATTTTTTTAGTTTTTCAAGATTTCAAAGTTTTTTTCAGAGTTTCGGAAATTCGGCAATTTTTCAGCATTTTTGTACAAATTCAGCATTTAAAACCTAATTTTGTCTGAAACTTTCGAATTCTAGCGTCAATTTGTAATTCTAGTTTTTCCAGGCAGCATCTAAATTCCCCTATTTTTGTCACCGAAATGCCACGCAAATAAAAAAAACCCCAAAATATTCAAATTCCTGTCCCAGCCCCCTACTGCCCTTTTCCCCCCTAACACCAAAAAACGCCAACATTCCACAAAAAATTCACAAAATCTTAAAAAAGCCAATCAAGCCAATCAAAACTCAAAAATGTATTTGCTCGGAATGAGATTCCTTCTTCCTCTTCTTGCATTTTTGCTCCCAAGTGTCCATGGACAATGGAAAGTAGACGAGGGTCTACAAATGGCTTGTAATCAGACTGGATCAATGGACAGTTGGCATCAAAGAGATGATGCTCAAGTGGGTCTAAAAAAGTCCTGAGAAAGAGTTTGGTCCAGAAAGCAAGTTAATAGCTTGTCTAGGAGCCTAGATACAGCGCTTCGTAACTTTGGAGAACGCAGACAGTTAGAGTGTTCTCGTTGTCAGCGTCTCTCGTCTATTTTTTTTATTAGAAAAAAAATATTCAGAGAAACGGATTGGTCCAGAAACGAAGTTTCTAGACCATCTAGGAGCCGAGATATCGACCTTTGATGTTTAGGAGAGAGTGCAGACAACGAGACATTCTGCGTCTCTAACCTAAACTTCAAATCGCTGTATCTCAGCATCTAGATGAGCTAGAAAGTTGATTTTTGGACCTAACTGATTCGCCGTATGTGATTCGAGTTGACTTTTTGAAATATTGAAAAAAATGCTGGGAACTCCAAAACCTCCCGAAATTAAAATTCCAAGATTTCTCGCAAATTCAAAACATTATGATTCTCTAACAGAAACCCTTTATTTCTGTCAAAGTTTGAGCTTCCTAGCTTATCTAGAAACCAAGATACATCGCTTTGAAGTTTTGAAGAGACGCAGACAGTCAGAGTGTTTAGCTGTCTACACTCTCCTCTCTCCCCATACTCTCGCTTTCAAAACTTCAAATCGCTGTATCTCAGCTTCTAGATGAGCTAGAAACTTGGTTCTTGGACTAAACTGTTCCTTTGAACTTGTTTTTCTGGAAAAATGAAAAATCAAAATTCGAAAAATTCTTGAGCTTTTTCAAAATATTTTTCTATTTTTTAATTTTGTCGATTCTCTGACAGAAAAACCTACATTTCTGTCGAAGTTTGAGCATTCTAGCTCATCTAGAAGCCAAGATAAATCACTTTTAAGTTTGAGAGACGCAGACAGTTAGAGTGTCTTGTATCTCGTGAGGGATTCTATCTAGAGCTTCTAAGTTAGAACTTTTGTGCCATATCCTTCTTCTGGTCAATAAATTGATAAATTTTCCAATCTTAGAGACTTGGTTTCTTCACAGAATTTATTAATTTTGAATCCTTTAAATACTCAAACGATTGAAAAAATCTCAAAAAAATTATTTTCCAGTCCGCCGTCGGCGACAAGTGTGCGATGAGATTCAACGTGGCCACCAGAGACCAAGCGGACGCTGATGAGTTCTGTCAGCTTTATGCTCCATGGAGATTTGAGAAAGCGGTCAGAGAAGACGCGGGAAGACCTACAGTAACCTGTCATGTCGGTAAGCATGATCTAATAACGATTTATTGATTTATCGATTTTCCTGTTTTGCAGAAGCCACATTCACATGTCGAACCGGTTGGATGCAGATGTTTGGGTATTGTTTCAGAATGCCTGATAAGAATTTGGTGGCAAATTTCACGGATGCTCAGGATATTTGCGCTAAGGAACATGGAGTAATCGCGTATATGCATCATCGATACATTGTTGGAGTTTGGAAAAGTTAGTGATTTTGAGTTTTGATGAAAATCTAAAAATAGCTGAAAAATTGAGAAGATCTGTGAAAATTTGAGTTTTTTAGCTTACCTGGGAGCTGAGATACATGTCTTTTAAGTTTTGGAGGCGAGAGACGCAGACAGCTAGACACTCTAACTGTCTACGTCTCTCCAAGCTTCAAAGCGCTGTATCTCGGTTCTCAGATGAGCTAGAAAGCTCAAACTTGGACAGAAATCCATGATTTTTGTCATAGATTCAGATTTCAAAACAGGATTTTGGTTTTTGAAAAAATTGATTTTTGAGAAAAACATTTTTTAAAAATTATTTTTTTTTCTATAATTTGAGAAAATAAAACATTGGAATATACAAAATCTATGAACGTTTGAACTTTCTAGCTCAACTAGGAGCCGAGATACAGACGTTCGAAGATTAGGAGGCTAGAGACGCAGACAAGGAGGCACTCTAGCTGTCTGCGCTTCTCAAAACTTCAAATAGCCGTATCTCGGCTGTCAGATAAGCTAGAAAGCTCGAACTTGGACAGAAATTCATGATTTTCGTCATAGATTTAAATTTTTAAAAAGTCGATTTTCAGAAGTACTTTTTTTTATTTTTGAGAATTTTTTGAAGTTTTTGAGAAATATATACTTTTTTTTAAAAATTATTTTTTTTATTTGAGAGTATAAAAGACATTGTAATACACAGAAATCTATAAAAGTTTGAGCTTTCTAGCTCAAGTAGGAGCCGAGATACAGACGTTTAAAAATTAGGCGGCTAGAGACGAGAGCATTCTGCGTCTTTAACCTGAAACTTCAAAGGTCTATATCTCGGCTTTCAGATGAGCTAGAAACCAGAAATTTGAACAGAAAATGCTCTGAAAATCTGCAAATTTATAAAATATAAAATTTTCCAGGATTCTTCCACGGCGTGAGCCAAGTTTGGGTGCGAGCCAGTGAGACCTGGGATCAATACATCCAAAAAACGAATCGTGTCGACGGCGACGCCTTGGCCCTTGCCTTTACAGGAATCCACTACAATTTTGCAGTCCCTGCGAATTCTCTGATCAAAATCGATCCATCGATTCGTCTTCAAGTGCTCTGTCAATACAAGCCAAACAACACAGCAGCCGAAGTTTCGTATTTGGGACGGAGGTATTCGGAAATCTACTATCCAGTCGTGCAAACTGATAATGGAATTTTGGTACGAACCGCGTCTTCGTACACGAGATCTTCAAAGAATAAGGATATGTGTAAGAAGGCGGTGAAACCGTTCATGTCCTATATATCTGGACCGTTTTTATCCAATAAGGAGGCGTTGACAACATTGAGACAAACGAATTTTCCAGTGAGTTTCTATCTGAAAAGTTTGACAGGAGAGACGCAGACAGATAGAGTACTTTCGTCGTCTGCGTCTCTTCAAAACTGCAAATGACCATATCTCGGTTCACCGAAGAGCTAGAGACTTGAAACTTTGACAGAAACGTTTGCTATGAACATTCAATTACCAGAAACATGAAAAATATTTCAGCTCACCTGGATGTACCGTGCTGGTGTCGATAGCGATCAGGACTACAAGGCTCTCTCTTCCTCACAAATTCAACAAAGTTGTTCAAAACACTTTTATGTGATGAATGATGATGGTGAAATATGGTCCACACCTGCCAAACAATCCACAAAATGCACAATGTTGAGCTATGCGATCAATACTCTCCAAGGCACGATGCTCTACCAAATGCCCGATGCTAGATCTCTGCCAATGTGGTGTGCGCTGGGACAGAAAGTCGAATTCAAGTATAGAACCGATGATGGCTATACGCTTTACCATCGGAAGAATGGTGAAGTGGTCGGTCATAAATTGGTGACAACTGAGGTGACTTATGATGAGGCGAAGAAACTGTGTATGGCCGAGGGAGGACTCGTGTCTGGAGTGAATAGTGATGATGAGGCCGAGAAAATGACAGGTATGAATTTTATATAATTTTGAAGAACTATTAAATATCTTCATTTAGAGACAAAAACCAAGTTTCTAGGATGCCTAGCAGCCGATATACGGTTGTTTAAAGTTTTGAAAAGACGCAGACAGTCGGTGTATCTCGTTGTCTGCGCTCTCTCCTTTACAAATACTCTCTCGCTGCCAGAATTTCGAACGCCTGTATCTCGGCTCTCAGAAAAGCTATAATGCTCAAGTTTTGAGCAAAACGATTGGCTTTTTTTCCTTTTTTTTCAATTTCTCTTATTTTTCAGAAATCGCCAAAAAAGCTGGCCTCGACACTAAGCAAATCTGGTTGGGTGGTAAACGTCGTGCCGAGTGCAACCAAATCGATGGCTTTAGTGAAGATCCAAACAGTGATTGTGGTCGAAATAATGTGATTATGTGGGAGCACAACGTGGCAACGGCTTTTTACGATCATTGGTGGAGAAATGGTGAACACCATGATAATCCAAGTTATTGGAAAGGACAGCAGAATTGTCTGACACTAGTCGTCGGCTCGCCTGCATGGTCCGGAAGCATTACAGCTGGATTTTTGGATGACATCAGTTGTGCTTCGAAACATCCGTTCTTCTGTACCAAGCCTGCCGACATTGATGAAGAATCACTTTGGGGAAAATCTTAAAAGTCTTCGGAGACAACTACTCGGACACTCTGTTTTACTTGATTCTTACTATTTTACATACTTGATGTCCATTTGACGAATGAAGGATTTTGGGAATATCTTATTTTTTGAATTATCTTAATTTCAGATGTCCTGAAATTTAGAAATGAAAACTACGGTCTTTTTTGCATTTTGGAGATTCCAGAATATCCAGAAGTTCAGAATTTCAGAATTTCAGAATTTCAGAATTTCAGAATTTCAGAATTTCAGAATTTCTGAACTTCCGAATGTCTTCAGAATTTCAAGATTTTTGGAAAACTTATGAATCTTTAAGATCCATTGGTATTCTGGAATTTAGAAATTCGCGAAGTTTGAAAGATTTAAAAAAAACGTTTTTTCTCAAAGAACAGATAACTACAGTAAACCAATAAAAGTTACAGTAATATTGAAGAAACGGAAAAACAAACCGAAAAAGCTACCGTACCATCATCACTACAGTAGTTATACTGTAAGCTTTAAGAGATACAGTAACCCAAAAATGGTAACTTTAGTAATCCAAGAATTATATCCACGGTAACCACAAAAATGAAAACTACAAGACTCCAAAAAGGGAAAATACAGTATCCCAGAAAATTCAATATTTTTTGATTTTCTGAAGCTTTCTGGAATTTTCAAACTTCAGAAATTTGTGAAATTGATAATTAGAAAAAATTCAGAAATTCAGAAATTCAGAAATTCAGAAATTCAGAAATTCAGAAATTCAGAAATTCAGAAATTCAGAAATTCAAAAATTCAGAAATTCAGAAATTCAGAAATTCAGAAATTCAGAAATTCAGAAATTCAGAAATTCAGAAATTCAGAAATTCAGAAATTCAGAAATTCAGAAATTCAGAAATTCAGAAATTCAGAAATTCAAAAATTCAGAAATTCAGAAATTCAGAAATTCAGAAATTCAGTAATTCAAAAATTCAAAAATTCAGAAATTCAGAAATTCAGAAATTCAGAAATTCAGAAATTCAGAAATTCAGAAATTCAGAAATTCAGAAATTCAGAAATTCAGAAATTCAGAAATTCAGAAATTCAGAAATTCAGAAATTCAGAAATTCAGAAATTCAGAAATTCAGAAATTCAGAAATTCAGAAATTCAGAAATTCAAAAATTCAGGAATTCAGAAATTTAGAAACTCAGAAATTCAGAAATTCAGAAATTCAGTAATTCAAAAATTCAAAAATTCAGAAATTCAGAAATTCAGAAATTCAGAAATTCAGAAATTCAGAAATTCAGAAATTCAGAAATTCAGAAATTCAGAAATTCAGAAATTCAGAAATTCAGAAATTCAGAAATTCAGAAATTCAGAAATTCAGAAATTCAGAAATTCAGAAATTCAGTAATTCAAAAATTCAGAAATTCAAAAATTCAGAAATTCAGAAATTCAGAAATTCAAAAATTCAGAAATTCAGAAATTCAGAAATTCAGAAATTCAGAAATTCAGAAATTCAGAAATTCAGAAATTCAGAAATTCAGAAATTCAGAAATTCAAAAATTCAGAAATTCAGAAATTCAGAAATTCAGAAATTCAGTAATTCAAAAATTCAAAAATTCAGAAATTCAGAAATTCAGAAATTCAGAAATTCAGAAATTCAGAAATTCAGAAATTCAGAAATTCAGAAATTCAGAAATTCAGAAATTCAGAAATTCAGAAATTCAGAAATTCAGAAATTCAGAAATTCAGAAATTCAGAAATTCTAAAATTCAGAAATTCAGAAATTCTAAAATTCAGAAATTCAGAAATTCAGAAATTCAGAAATTCAGAAATTCAG